GGTAAACTTGAGACATTTCTAGCTAAATGGATGCATACTGACCGTATTCTTAAATGAAATAAATCAGACACCCATGTTTAAATTCTTTGCTTTTCTGGTGTGAGAAACTGAAAGTGTAAATAAAGACCAAAATGTATAATAGGTATTCAGAAAGAAGAAAATGTTCAAATGAGAAGGGGAACAAAGGATGGGGGATGAGGAAAGGAAAGAAGGGACAAGAAAAAAGGAAGGATAAAATTAAAAAAAAGGTTAAAATGGAAGCAAAGCTTTTTTTAAATGAGGGGAAGAGGGGTTGAAGGGAGGGGAGGGGATTGGGAAAAAAAGAGCAATCAAGATATATCATGCACAGGTATAAATTCCCTATGATGAATATGACATAGATAGACAGACAGATAGATATAATGAATGTTCAAAATATGTTAAAAGAAAAAGACACACACACACACACAACTGGACATACAAAGAGGAAGAGTGACTGATTTCAATTTTGGAAATTTAAAGAAGTCTTGCTTATCCCATAGAAGAAAAGAAAATAATGAAACTCCAGTGTTCTCACTTCCAGCCACAAAGGAGACAGTGAACTATTTAGGACCCAGGGGAATTTCAGCTGTCACCAGGCTGCACTAGTCATGGCAGAGAAAACCCAGGGAATCAGAGAGGCATTATCCATCATAAAGATACTGTCTAGACCAGGAAAGAGAAAAATGCTAGCACTTGGTGGAATAAAATGAAGTAGCCACTGCATTGCTCTCACTGGAACCCTTCCGGCCTAAGTTCCCGCAGTGGCCCCTTTTGATGTCCCTTGCATGGCTTCCCTGTTCTCCCACACACTTTGGTCCCTGTGAACTTCTTCATTCTGTGTACAACAGGTGTTTGCCATGGTCTGAGAATAGCAAGGCCATAAGAAAGCCTGAGAACACAAGTCATGGAACTCAGGCTCAGCCTTCAGCTGCATGACAGAGGGAACTGTAGCCCAGCTGTGCATGCTGCCCACCCCCAAGTACATGTGATAACCACTGGTGAAATGTGAGGGCTCCTGTGTCAGACCTAAACTGGAACCCCAGCTCTAGGACTAATGAGCTCAGTTACAGTAGATAAATTCTCTAACCTCTTGAGCTCCATCTTCTACCATGCAGTAAAGTAATGATATCAGCACTGAAATTCTCTTCCTGAAGTGGTTGCGAAAATGTCAAAATTCTTCCAACTGACCAGTGAATACATTGGTCCCCACCAAACTAATCTCTCCTCTTTCTGCCCTTCTTGGTCCCATAATTAAGGTGTTGACTTCACAGAACAGCCAGGTATCCTAGGACCTTAATCTAGCACTAAAGTCATTCTGAGTGGTAACACCAAGAGCCTGGATGGACGGTTAAATATTTTTAATAACACCCTAACAATGGTCATCCTTGGGATTAAATGAAATGATGCAGTAAATATGTGATGGACAGCTTAGAATACGGAAAGAACTCTGTCAAGGTCATTGTTGATGTTATTGCTTTAAACATCAAACTCAAAGGAACCAGGACCTCAGAGTCAAACATCATGAGCAGACACAAATGGGTAACAATTGGTAGCTTGGGACTTGGTGCAGGGTGCCAGGATGATCCACAGAGAGGCTGTGTGGGTCACCCTGCCCAGAGGATGATGAGTACAGCCCTGTCCTGGCCCCCTCCCAGGTCAGGAGCACTTATCACTGTTGTCACTACTGTCAACTCTACTGTGTTGTGGGAATCCTATGTCTTGTTATCTGAAACCAAGAAGCTGTTTCAGGAGGTTGGACTTCACCTTTCTAACACCTTGGGAAATCAAAAATGAGTATTCCAATCCAAGGTTGTTTTACTTAAGAGCCTGAAGGATCAGGTTGGGGAGATAGCTCAGTGGCTTAAGCGCCTGCGTGGCAAGCATAAAGTCTCAAGTTCTATCCCTAGTACCATGAGGGGGGGGGAAGAGCCTAAAGGATCTTAAGGAGAACCAGTTTTGTGTACTGCCAAGGAGTGGGCCCTGAGCCAGACTGCTTGGGTTCAAATCCCAGTTCTGTAGATCCACTTGCTATGTGAACTTTGTGTAATCACTTAATTGTGTGTGCCTCAATTTCCTTTTCTGTTAAGTGGAAATAATAATAGTACCTGCCTCAGAGTTCTTCCAGGAAATCAGTTTGGTAATACATGTATATTTGGTCCCCTTTATCCACAGGTGATATGTTCCAAGACGCTCAGTGGATGCATAAACTGCAGATAATACTGAACCCTATCACTGAATGCATGTGTCATTTTATCTAAGCCACAACTTTTTACAGTTTGAGGTGTGAAAACAAAACTGGAAACGTTTCTTTTTTCTTCTTCACAATTTCATAGAACATCCATTCTTATTGTAGATCTTAACAATTGGCATACACTTTCCCATTCATTTTATTTATTTATTTATTTATTTATGTATTTATTTGCAGAACCAGGGATTGAACTCAGGCCCTTGGGCTTGCCAGGGAAGCACTTATTCTACTGAGCCACCTCCTCAGCCCTCCCTTTCCTTTTAAATCAAGAACTTTCATCTTTTTGCTTTAAAGGAAGCCTTCTGTGGCTTCTCTTCAGCATACCCAAACTGACAGCATCACTACTCTGGTTGTAGCTATTAGTGAGTAAAATAAGGGTTACTTGAACACAGGTACTATGATAGTCCTTCTTACTGACTAATGGGCAGGTAGTGTATACAGCATGGATACGCTGGACAAAAGGATGACTCATGTCCAGTCAGGAAGAAGGGATTTTTTTTTCTCCGAATGCCTTCAGGGCAAGTTTGGCTGGCTTGAGTTGTGGGGATCCAACCACAGCAACCTGAGCCTGACTGCTTTGTTGAAGCAGCCACTTAAAGAACTGAGCTAAGAGGCAGGCCCCTCAGTCAGGATGAAGGGATGGAGAGAAGTAGCATAAGATTTCATCATGCTACTGAAAACAGCACATAATTTTTTTTTTTCAGAACCGGGAATTGAACTCAGGCCCTTGTGTTTGCCAGGGAAGCGCTTATTTCACTGAGCCATCTCCCCAGCCCCTCATAATTTTAAACAGGGATTTTGTTTTTCTTTCTGGACCATGATTTACTTCAGGTAACTGAAATTATATAGCGTGGAATTGCAAATAAAAGGACTACTGCGAAGTTCTAAAATATAGCACATGGCACAGAATAAGCACTCAATATATGTTGGCTATTGTTGGGCTCAGGAGTACAAGTGGAGCTGTCAGATTCATGTCCATATAATTTTATCTTATCCCACGCTTTTTTAGTTCTCCTACCTAAAATCTTCCCCTGTTCCATGGAGTCTCTTGGGACAGTTCTGGTATTTTACAGTCTGGGAGGCCCAGAGTTAGAAAGGTCATGCTCATGGTCATGTACGGAATCACTGACAAAAGTGGCACTCCACATTAGGGTTACCACTTCCAGGAACCCATACTGTCTCCTCCACCTCTTTACTTGGAGTATAGTTAATTTAAGCAGTATAAGTTATGTCCATCTGTAGGCCCCATGAGTACAGAGCAGAGAAAATGCCTGGGAGTAGAAGAGTTAGGGCTGTTAAACGGCTGACCTACCTGGAAAGAAAGATACATGACGCCTCCAATCTCTGTTAGGGTCCCAGAGAAGAATCATATCCTGCAGCCAAGACAAAGGGCCAGTAATACCATTTCAAGGAAGAATGAATTAGTCCCTAAAGAAGAAGGATCACTGGTGCTTCCCAGGCCTGCCTGTCTGGGAGGTTCCAGCCCCAGTAGCCTCGCCTCCGCAGAGATCTTTGTATCCCTATCCCTATCCTCCTTGGTCCATTGCGCGCCCATCACTACAGTTGCTTCTTGGAAAGAAGCCCAGACTCCTCGCTATGCTCTGCTACATCCGCGATCCCATTCGACCAATCCCAGAGCGCCCCGCCCCTACTTTTGATAGATCTCTACAAGTCCCTCCCTCGCACGTGGCCGGGCCCAGGGATAGCTGCTCCCCTTTTGCCCCCAATCTGGCGTAAAAAGATTTCTTTCCTTTTCCACGCCTTGGGTAGGGAGCTCTCAGAGGTCTGTGTGATCTGGGCTGCCAGACTGGACTTTGGGGAGACCCCCGAATGCAAGGAGGAGGTGTTCCCGGGGCCCTGAAACCTTCCAGACCCGCTCAGTGTAAACCGCCAGGGGTTTGTGTCAACATCCGAGGCCGGAGACTGGCGGCGGCGGGGGACAGGCTCCATCCATGTGCCAGGAACACGGAAGGGTGGGGAATGGAGGGGTCCCTGTGGTCGGTGGATGGCTCCTTCTGGGGCAGAACCCAAGAGGTCTCCCGGGCCTCGGGAAACAAGGATGGGGCCTGTCTGGGAAAGGATCTGGATTAAGGGCTGGAGGGGTGGCTGGAGGGTGGGACTGGTGGAGGTGGGCTCCTCGCAGCTCCACTGCGTCCTGCGCGCGCACCCTCAAGCTCAGCTCCGCGGCGTAGGGGAGCGTGGGGGTGGGGGGTTGGTGGCGAAGGCCTGAGCTAACTAACTACCCCGACCCCTCTTCCCCAACCCTGGCCCTTAGCAGCTCCTTTGTCTCCCTCCAATATCGAGCAGGGATATTGGGGGAGGGTCTCATCTTGTGAGTCACCTCCTTTCCACCCCCACCATCGCTGGGGCCCTGGAAGAGAAAGCTTAGACTCGGTTGCGGGTCACCCGTTTCCATAGTAACGGTGCGATTGTTTTTGTGAATCCGCTTCAACCATCGGTACTTTTCACTGTAGACTGCGCATCGGAGTCTGAGCCTCAAGGCTGGGGTACAGGTGGGGGTAAAGCATACCCCCAAGCCCTGGCGACTCAGGGAAGGTCAGCGCGCGCGGGCGAGGCACGCTCCTTTAGCCAATCTACACTGCCCACCCCAGCCCCACCTGGAACCCCGCCTGCCACTCGGCCCAGTGGAACCAATCGGAGCCCATACTGGCCGGGATGGGGCGGGACTTATGCAAATCGTGTCGCCTCCAAGAGGCACTTAGTGATACCAGAGCTGGGAGGCGGCTCCGGCGCGGACCTTGGATTGCCCAGCCGCTGGCCCGCGAGCCCGTTTCTTCCTTGCCGCCACAGAGGCTCGGAGCCATCCAGCGACCAGCAAGCGGTCTCAGGTAATGCGGGTGGGGCTGGGCCCCTAGGGTCACCCCCTGGGCGGAGGCCCCGGATTCCTACCCCTCCACTTTCCCTTCCCATCCTCTTCTGCTCCTTGATCCATCGCTGACCCTTGGTTCGTCACAGGCACAACATTTAGCGACCCCGCCTCTGGGCAGGGGACCTCGACCTCAGGACGTCCCTGAGTCCAGCAGAAGAGGCAGAGCCACTTCCTTACCCCCAACTCATGGGGTAATAACCATTACTCAGCCTGCAGACCCCCCACCCCCACTCCGCACTTGGGGCTGGGGTGTAGCTGGTGTTCGAGGAGGCACAAGTCACCCTCCCTCGTGTTGCCTTTGGAGATGAGTAGCCTGCACAGCTCTGTGGCAGCCTCTACGTCCAGACAGCCTCCACCACAGCAGCAGTTTACTGCCCCTCACACCACCCAAAGACTGCCCCCACCTGCAGGGAGCCCACCGCCACTCACACCGTCCCCACTTCCGTTTCTAAAGCAGACTGGCTCACCGGCACACCTGAGGGAGCAAAGGAGGGACCCCTCCCCTCAGGTCCTGCCGGCAGACATTTGCTGCAGCACCTCCAGTGGCCCCCAGTATTAAACAGAGGCCCCGTTTTGAGCCTTTTTTATCCTGGTTGGAGGTTGAAGCAGGAACAGCCCTACTCCCAGGAAACACCCATACCTCATTAGAAGGTGCCCAGGCTCCATCCTCCACACCTCTTGCTCACTCTCCTCACAGCCAGAACACCAGGTCCTCTCGTTCCATCTCCCCGATCTTTCTTTTGTTTTGTTTTGTCCCAGATCTTTCTGATCCAACTCTCCACTCTGATAGTCACTCCCTCTCACTCTCATCTTCCTGCTGTCCCACAGGGACAGTGCTAAGCTCCATGTGGACCATGTTGCTCTTTTCCTTAAGGTGTCCTGAAGCTGGAAAGCAGAAGAGCTGGGTGCAAACATTTCTTTCTCTCTCTCTCTCTCGTTTCACAATACAGGGAAGGGGACAGGAAAGAGGGTGAACTGGTTGAAGTGATCTTGAACAGCCTTCCAACGCTGACATACTCTGGTATGATGACTGATTTGTGAAATCAGGTCCCTGAACCATTAAAACATTTCAGAGTAGAGGCCTAAGGAACTTCCATCCTCACGGAGGGGTTATTGATTCTTACCAGGCCTGGATGCAGGCCACCTCCTCCCACACACCTTGCCCTTTCCTTTTAGGACTCTCTTAGACCACCAGCCCACCCCTGGCATAGACAGCTCCAAATTGGAGATGGCCAACAGGGCTCACCCTTTGTCATTTCTCCTTAAAAAAAGGATAGGAAGACCTAGTTACTACTGCTGTTGCTGCTGCTTGGAGAACAGCAAAGGGAGGAGAGGAAAGAGAGAAAATCTCCTGACCAGGGAGCTATTGTCACCATGACAACCACCTCAGCACCAGCTCCTCTGAAGCTGGGCGAGGGTGTGGGATTATTGCCTCCTTCAGTCCCTCCCAGTCTCACTGCCACTTCTCCATTTGAAGCTCACAACCATGAGTGCTTCCAAAGACATTTCTGATTTTGTGCTTGGGCGTGGGCCAGTGACTTCTCAGCTGGAAGACAGCCCTTTAGAGGCCACAGCTCCAACAACATGCCCCTGGCTAGGTTCTGGCCTTCAATTTGCTGCAGATGGGCTCTAGTTGACCTTGGGTGAACCCTTCCTTTCCTTGGCTCAGAGTTCCATCATCTCCAAGAGGTGCACTAGAAAGAGAGCACAGATAAGCAAAACAGGGTGACATAGTTCCAAGGAGAAAAAGGGGGTGCTGGTCCTCTCATGTAACCTATGAAGAGACAACCACTGGACATGGTTGAACCCGAGGTACTTCTTTCATGTCTCTGCAGTGTGCTCTGTGCAGATGCAGAGGGCAGGGCTGGAGCCTGTGGATGACATCTGCATGAGAGCTACCTCAGGAACAATGGGCAAAGCACTTCTCTCACTGTCCAAGCTGCTTAAAAGTGTTTTGGATCACACTAGGAGAGGATAAGCTCCTTACCACTAAGTAGAAAGTCCCAGAGAACTTTCCTTGCCTTGGCCAGGGATTGAATGTAGAAGCCTCTTCTGCAAACCAAAAGCACCAGATGAGGGCCAGAGGGCTCCATGGCTGTGGGGGTTCCACTTCCCCGCCTTCCGTGGTCTACTGTCCTGAGTGCTAAACCCATCCTGCTGCTTGGCCACTGCCCAGGCTTGAAAAGGCTGAAAAACAAGCAGGTTTCAGCCAGGCCCTGAAGACTGAATGCAGCTTGGGTTGGCCCAGTAAAGAGAAGATGGCTGGGTTGAGGAAATAGCTAAAGAGGTAGGTGATGCAGGTTCTGTCTATGAGAAGCCTGACTCAAGAAGAATAAAGGGGAGCAATGAAAGGTGAGCCTACTTGTTGGATACCTTGAGACTAGATTCTAGAAAATTCTAAAGTTTCAGAGGGCTCAAGAGCATGCCTACTTCTTCCCTACATGGCAATCTCTGTGGGGTATGGAGAGGCATTCTGGAGGCACCGGGAAGTAAGAAGGAAGAGATTTCCTGCAACACAGATGAGCCTCATGGGCATTGGCCTTGCTTTGCAAGCAGAGCCCCAGGTAGATTTTAGCCCCATGGCTGTGCCGCTGGGCATAGACGTAGTAAAGATTCCAAGAGTGTTTCAAAAGAATAAACATTGGGACTTGATGGCAAGTTGAACCTGGGAGAAAAAGAGAGGGGAGATATAAAATAGTTTACAGATATTTCCCCCCAAAAAAACCCCCCAGGGATGAGGGGAAAAGGAAGGAGACAGTGGAGAGAGACAGATCCCCACAGGTTGAGGGTGGGTCTGGCTGTAGATAAGATTACTGGAGTACTAATGGCATCAGCACCAAGATGGATGTTTCTGGGTATCAGAGATCATGGCCTGGAGGCCAAGCAAGATGATCCCACTAAGGCCAAAAGGGAAATTAGAGCTGATCTTCTCAGAAGGGAAGTGGGGGTGGAGAAAGTCTGTGGTGAGCTAGAGTAGCCATAATAGATCACCATAAGAGGGTGGTCCAGGCAGGTGGTAGGAATTCAGCACGGGTGGTCTTTGGGTTCCCTCGCTGACCCTCTGGTCACCCTGAACCATGTTGTCTCTCAGTTTCACTTGTCACTCAAATAAGTGGATGACCTCAAAGGGCACCATCAGCTTTGACCTCTGACTAACAGTAGTAGAGGAGCTGAGAAGAAATAGAGAAGGCCTTGGCCTTGCTGAGTATGGGACCAAACAGAGACAGGGACAAAGCTGAGTTGGTGGGAGGGAGGCAACACAAGGAAGGAGGAGAATGGGGCAGGAGCTGAGGGCCACACACAGACTTGACAGCATGCGCGGAGACGTGTGCACACTGGCAGATTTTCAGTCTCAAACACTGACACCTTCCCACACAGACTCAGGCAACTGCACAAGAGACACGGGGAGAAGCTCTGCCTCCCCCAACACACACCTCTCTCTGCCTCTGGGCTCTCCTGCTTCCTTCCCAATACCCTGAGCCTGCAGAATCTTTAAATTTGGGTAAGGAGAAGCTGAGAACCCTGCCTCCTTTTGCCCATGGGCGTACCAGGGGTGCCTTTGACTCAGACTTCAGTGCAGCTCTCTGGGATTTTTCAACCCCAGGCTCCTGGAGATGGCAGGCCTCCCCACCTGCCAGCTCTCCTGAGGGAATGGGGTGCCTCACCCTATGGGGTTGGTAGGTGAGAAAGGATGTTGCCATTGCGCTGGTCCTTGATCTTCCTAATGGCCCTGTGGAGAAAGCTGAGGCCCGGAGATATCTTATAATTAACTGGAGGTTGCCCAGTGAAGGGTGGGGGAATGAAACTGTCCACACACTATCTGGTTATTCAACCCATGCCCGACAATAAGGGTTAGACGCCATACTGGCATCGGTGGCTGTGGATGTGTAACTCCTTTTACTAAAGAGCTTCCTAAGGGTCAGGGAGATGGCTCAGTAGAATAAGTGCTTCCCTGACAAGCTCAAGAGTCTGAGTTCAATCCCCGATTCCACAAAAAAATAATTAAATAAATAAAGAGCTTCCTTTTTCATAGTATCTTGAGGGCAGTTTACCCACAGTGGGAGCTTGGACCCTCTAAAGAAACTCTAGGTAGGTAAAAGGCATGCCCCAAACTGTGTCCTGGGAAACCCAGGCTTCATGATCCCCAACATTTTCTCTGACACAGGTTATTTGAGGGGCTGAGGACTGATTTGACCCCTCCTCCCTAGCAACATCCACTCTATTCATTCAGCCCCAAGTCTGAATATCTGCGTCAACCTTTTTCCCACTCACACCCTAACACTCAGTCAGTCACTAAGCCCTCTCCTAGGATGTCTCTGTCCATCCATTTCTCTTGATAGCCCCTGTCCTGAAATCATCATCATCTGTCATCTAAACTGTGTAACAGCTTCTTCCCTGCTCTGCTCACCTGCCCTCACCAAGTCATTTTGCACATTAGCCAAAGGAAAAATTCCCTACATGCATTGCTCTCTCTGGCTCCCCAGCACCAAGATTAGGGCCTGGCACGATGCAAGTATCCTGAAATATCATGGAATCAAAGCTTGAGAGCCTTTGCCTAAAAAAACCCAGGTTCTGTTCTCTGTGGGTACTTGGCATGAATTGGAGACCTGCTGTAGTCAGCCATCCACCTTTTTGGCCCAATTATGAGTTCCTGCAAGTTGGTTTGTGTTGGCTTGTCTCCATCCATAACTCGGGGCCTGGCACATAGTCAGCCTCAATAAATACTTTGGAAATGAAGGGGTTAATCAAAAGCATATTGCACTCAGAGTCATCTGTGCTCTAGGCTAAGATCCTACTTATGCACAGAAAGGAGGGAGGCAAGTTCCTACTGGAGTGGCTAGAAAGGTGTCAAGAGGCAGTGTCAGGGAGACACACAGGAAATCTTCTGGTCCGAGCAGGAGAGGAGTCTGCCCAGGACATAGGGACGGCAAGCAGAAGGCCCTGCAGAGCAGAAAGGGAAGTGGAAGCTTTGTGCTACAGGGCTGGGGAGCTATGGAAGGTGGAAGAGAAGAGGTGAGGGTGGAGGTCATGGCCTGCTGCAGCTCAGGTCACCAAGAGGGTCAGCTGAGATCTGGAAGGCTGGAAATCCGTTGACCTGGGGAGTCTTCTCAGGGTACAGGGTGTTGGGGGAGGCACTGTTATGACACAAAGTATGGGTATGGGGGTATGCTCTGTGTAGGGGGACATGGACCAGGGCTCCCTGTGGAAAGGGGGAGTGAAGGCCAGAGCCCTGCTGTACCCTGGTGGGGCTTGTTGGGCTGCGTGGCCAGGGGAGGGGACCCTGGTGATAAAGGGGATCCTGGCTAGGAAGTCAGGCACCCCATGGAAGGGTGTGTTGTGGTGGGGTGAGGGAGGGGCACGGGGAATTTTGCTAAGATGAGGACCTTGGCTGGGCAAACTGAGGGAGCTCCCTGTCTTTCAGGCCTTGCCATGGGGAAGACCAACAGCAAGCTGGCCCCCGAGGTGTTGGAGGACCTGGTGCAGAACACGGAGTTCAGCGAGCAAGAGCTGAAGCAGTGGTACAAAGGCTTCCTGAAAGATTGTCCCAGTGGCATCCTCAACTTGGAGGAGTTCCAGCAGCTCTATATCAAGGTGGGCACAGGTGCTCCCACAGGGCCAGAGGGGTGGGATAGGCACCCAAGAAATAGGGGATGTGGGGGGCAGACAGCCAGGCAAGGGGAGGCGAGGCTGATTTGGGCCCTATGCCTGCACTCTGCCTCAGTTCTTCCCCTATGGTGATGCCTCCAAGTTTGCGCAGCATGCTTTCCGCACCTTCGACAAGAATGGCGATGGCACCATCGACTTCCGGGAGTTCATCTGTGCCCTGTCGGTCACCTCCCGCGGCAGCTTCGAGCAGAAGCTCAACTGGGCCTTTGAGATGTATGACCTGGATGGTGACGGGCGCATCACACGTCTTGAGATGCTGGAGATCATCGAGGTGTGCAGGGAAGGGGGGCCCAGGCCTTGGGAGCTCCTGCTATGCCCAGTTCTCCCCACCCAGGGTCCAGTGACCACTGCAGGCCTTGGGCTGTTTTAACTAAGGGATAGCCACTGTCAGAAGCCTCATTTTATACACAAGGAAAAGGTAGCAAATGTCAGCTTATGATTCCAAGCAAGGGAGCCTGACTCTGGATCCTAAGGGTTTGTGTTGTTAGTGTTATTTTGTTGCATCCTGGTTTTGGTTTTTTGAGATAAGATCTTGCTTTGTTGTCCAGGCTAGCTTTCATCTCATGATCTTCCTGCTTCAGTCTTCCCAGTGCTGGGATTACAGGCCAATACCACCAGGTTCAGTTCAGTTTACATTTTTAATTTATTCATTTTTTAGGCTTAGTAAATTTTGACTGTTTGCTACATGCCAGGTACTGTTCAGAGTTCCTGCTTTCATCCAGGCATGGTGATGAACCCTTGTAATCTCAGCACTCAGAAAGCTGAGGCAGGAAGATTCCTGTAAGTTTGAGGCCAACCTGAACTACACAGTGAGACCTTGTCTCAAAAAACAAACATGCAGGGTTGGGAAGATAGCTCAGCAGTCTAAGCACCTGCCTTGAAGTGCAAGGACCTGAGTTCCATCCCTGGTACCACATGCTATACAGGGCCTGGCACCCTAGGTGTGCTGTGCAGGCCACAAAACCAGGCATGGTGACACATGCCTATAATCCCAGCTCTGGGGAGGCTGAGACAGTAGGATCACAACAGATCTGAACTGTGTAGTGAGATCCTATTACAAATAAATACATAAATAATTTTTAAAAAATATGCGAACAGGGGCTGGGGAGATGGCTCAGTAGAATAAGCGCTTCCCTGGCAAGCGCAAGGGCCTGAGTTCAATCCCCAGTTCCACCAAAAAAACAACAATAACAACAGCAAAAAAAAAAAAAAAAAAAAAAAAAAAAAAAAAAAAAACATGCAAACAAAATCATCTTAAAGAAAAAAAATTCTTGCTTTCAGGAGGATTCCTTCTAGTGAAAAATTGGGCCAGCCAAATAGCTCAGCAGATTAAAGAGCCTGCAAACAGGCATAGGGGCCGGGGATTCTATCCCCAGGCGTGCTGTGCCAGCCCCACCCCCAGGGCATTGAGACTGGGTGTGGTGGTATGAGCCTGTAATCCCAGCACTTGAGAGGCTGTAAACAGGAGAATCACTACAAGTCCAATTTAGTAGTGAGACCCTGAACACCCTGTATACCCTTCCCTAAAATACAAAAAGAAAAAGTAAACAAATTAAACCTAATGCCTTGTTGATCAGGACTATGAAGAGGATAAGCAGAGTAGGGAAAGAGGGAGCTATAGGCCGTGCATGGTGCCACACACCTGTGGTCCCAGCACTCAGGAGGCTGAGGCAGGAGGATCAAGGTGAATTCAAGACCAGCGTGGGCTACAAAGTGAGCTCAAGGCCAGCCTGAACTGCATAGTGAGACCATCTCAAAAAGAAAAAAAAAAAAAAAAAAAAAAAGTGAGCTGCAGCTTGAATCAGGCAAGGAGCTAACCTGAGGCCTGTGCAAAGGGAGCACGAAATGCAAGTGAGACTGTGTTCACAAGGTTCAAGGAGTAGCCAGCAGCCAGGTTAGTAGGAGAGAAAGGAGCTGAGGGGAGAGTGACTGGAAGGTGGTCTAGATGGGAGCAAGAGCCCAACACTCAGCCTCTCAGACTGGGGGAAAAGCTTTGAGTTCGTTCTGAGTGTGGAGAACAGTTGAGGGCTGCAGGCAGGGAGTGCTGGTAGAGGGATAGAAAGTGGAGGGGATGGAATTGATTGCCACAGTTAGCTGGGGGAGTGGACACAGAGTGTGAGAAGGAGGGGAGGTAAAAATGACATCCGGGCTTGTGGTTTGAACAACTGGCAGAATAGGAGAGCTGCTTGCTGAGACAGAACTCTGGAGGAGGCGCAGGCGGGAATGACGAGTTGGATTTGAGATGTAATTACTTTGAAGTGCTTGTTAATACTCAGTCTTTTGGGGCCAGGGAGATAACTCAGTAAAATAAGTGCTTGCCTGGCAAGTGCAAGGGCCAGAGTTCAATACCCAGTTCTACAAAAAATCAAAAACAAAAACCCTTTATTAAAAAAAAGGGGGGGTGCTGGTGAGATGGCTCAGTGGTCTAAAGCACCTACTTAGAACAAGCTTAGCAAAGCACAGGTACCACGGTTCAATCCCCCAGCACCACATGCCAGCCAGCCCTGCCCCCTGGTGGGCTGAGCTGCCCCCCACACACACACATATATACACATATAATTTTTTTTTAAAGTGTTTTTTTTTTTTTTTTTTTTTTTTTAGTGTATTTGGTACAAGGTCTCACTACACAGCTTAGACTCGTAATGATCCTCCTGTTTTCAGCATCCCCAGCTCTGGGATTACAGGCGTGCTCCAACCATGCCTTGTCTTGGTGGCTGGCTCAGCTTGCCCAGGGGTGGGGCCAGTGCAGCATGTGGTGCCAGGGATCAAACCCTGGTCCCTGTGCTTGCCTAAGCAGGCACTTAGTCTATCACCTTCCAGGATTCTTCCCCCCTACTCCCAGATCCCTCAGATTCTCCCTTGATCCTCTCTGCCTTTTGTGGGTGCTCACACCTTCCTCCATACCCCCACCCCAGGCTATCTACAAGATGGTGGGCACTGTGATCATGATGCGGATGAACCAGGATGGGCTCACACCCCAGCAGCGTGTAGACAAGATCTTCAAGAAGATGGACCAAGATAAGGATGACCAGATCACACTGGAAGAGTTCAAGGAGGCAGCCAAGAGTGACCCATCTATTGTGTTGCTGCTGCAGTGTGACATGCAGAAGTAGAGGCTGGTGAGGGGCAGGGCCCCTGGCCAGGAGGGGAAAGGCCACCTCCCAACCCGATGACCTCTCTGGCTGGCCCTTCCCTAAGGGGAGGGACCCTGTAGCCTCACTCTCCAGTCCACCCTGTCCACTTCCCAAGCCATTCCTCCCCTTAGTCAAGTTCCCTGAGGGGCCACCTCAGCCTGTAAAAGAGACAGGCCCTTGGATATCCTGTCATCTAGCCCCACTCCTGGCCCTGGTCCAGAGCCAACATCCATGGGCCATAGGGGAGTTGGCTTTCACCCTGAAAGGCAGGGTTGGGGGTGGGTGGGTTCTGCTTTGAAATCTTGTTGTTCCTGGGATTGTGCTTTATGGAATAGAGTCCCTCAGAGCCCCAAAGGGCCAAATTGGGTCAGTCTTTTCTTAAGGATTCAGATCCCTTAAAAGTGGTCTGTGCCCTGCCCCCTCGACTCTACCTGGCCTCTCTGGCCTACAACCTATGGAGTGTTATTCAGTCCATTCTTCTGTCAATGTTTATTGAGCATCTATGTAATACCAGGCACCTCTAGGTGCTGAGAATATGGTGGTTTACAAGACACATTCCATGCCCTTTGGAAGCTCATGAAAGGGCAACTTCCGGTGGTCAGGGTCTCAAAGAGAGTTGTTGCTCCCAGCTGAGGAGAAGGGGAAGGAAGCCTGGCTGGATTGAAAAGAGCTATCAGAGTCTGCCAGCTAGCTCCACCTAAGTAAAAAGAACTTGGATGTTTAGGGTCCATATGAATGGAAGTTTTAAGAAAAATGAAAATCTATGTAATATTTATTTTTTAGTACCCTCTAAAAGAGCTAAAATCATTTTATTAGGTTAGAATATTAGATATACTCTATATTACTTGGTTTCTTATAAAAATGATTAAGTAAATATAGAAAATGCTAATTTTGAGAGGGGGGAAAAGAGATGTTAAGGGGAAGAAATACCACTTGATCCAATCTAACAGAAAATCCTTTGATGGGGGGAGTCAGGCTGAGTCCTGAGCTGTGGTCAGCAGCAGTTTTTGCTGCTTCCTTTTTATTACCTTTTTCCGTTCAACAAGTGACTGTCTACTGCACAGTTTGGGTGCTGACTTGAGAGGCAGAAACAGCAAGGTTTACTAGGAGTGAGACAAGTGTATATTCCACACATTGGTGGTTTGTTTCTGAGTTTGGTTTGGTTTCTGGGATGGGTCCATTCATTCACTGCCTCAGATACAGAAGGAGCTAGAAGAGACGGACCACCTGGCTACTGATTAGGCTCCCAGGATGCACTCATAGACCAGATTCCTCAAACTGTGCTGGGCATGCTCCATTTGAAAGGCTTTTCCTAACCCCCAGTCCTAGATCTGCACCACCCTAGTACACTGGGTTTCCTTTCTGGTTTTTGAGTCTATGAACTCTATGGCTGCATGCTTTGACTGCCAGAAAAATTCATCCTGCTTCTTCATCAAATTGTTCCCTTTACTTTCTCCTGTACTTGTAATCAGACATTAGCTTTGATGTGCAGTGCCCGTTACTTCCTCTTGAACTGTTGGTGAAAACAGTCTAGTATGTGGGTGCTGCCCACCCAGGGTGGGAGTAGGGAAAGGCTGCAGAGCCAGGGCATGTGACGGTGGGAAGTGCAGCTTGTCCCTGACTTCCTAATGCTCACCTGTTCTGGCTCTCTGCAGGTAGAAATGAGCACGCTGACCTATGGTCCCAAGCTCTCTTGGGTCTTTCTTCTTGTGACCCTTGGAGGTAGCAAGTTCACTGGGTTGCCACCTTGTTCTGTCCTGCCTATAACCAAACCATGTGATGAGGCTGGAGATCTCATATCTGCAGACAGTAACTAGCAGGGATTTGTCTAGTAATACCTCAAAGATGTTCCACTGCTCTCAGGAACTGGGTATTAAGTGTGTCTTGCACTGTCAATCAACACCACAGATATATAAATGCCCAACACTCTGCCTGAATCTTCTGGTGAAGGGCTTTTTACTAATTGGGGTTCCTTCCCCCAAAATATTGCAACAGGCTTAACTCCTAGTCTCAGAATTTCATGACTTTCAAGGGTTTTCTTTCTGCCCTGTCTCATTTGATCCTCATAGCTCAGGGAGACAGGGATTTTCATTATCTTTCTCCAGATTCGGAAGCTGCAGTTCAGAGAAAGGGGAGTCCCTTGTTCAAGAGCACATAGTCAGGAAGTGATACAATGCCAAGACTTGAACCTAAGGCTCACTAAGAGAATTCTCTTTCTTGCTCATTTCTGTGTCTGATTTGTCAACTGCGGGTTAAGTGAAGTTGGTTTTCATCTTCTGTAAGCTTCCTGCTAAGAAGTTCCTGAAGCTAAGGTCTTCCAAAAAGGAATAGAGGCTCAGTTGGAGTTCCCTACATTTTCAGGCATCCTGTGTTTGGCTTCTGCACAGTGCTGTTGATGGGCCAATGCTGTCCTTAAAGACATCTGACTCAGAACCCTGGAAAGCATCTTGCATTGTCTTTACTGTCTTCATCCCTAAGAGAATGATTTTGGTTTTTGCAAGTTGGCAGGCAAGCCCTACCAATGAGAGCGTGCTTCATCACTTCAGGCTTCTGGACACATACCCACCCATGGATAATATTTGGTGGTCAGGTCAAGGTTTGGACGCAAATGCAAGGCCAATCTGAGACCATCTTCTCACAAAAGATGGCCTGGGTGGGGACAGGTAGGCCAGGCTTTGCTCCCACACTCTTTTGGGTATCACACAGACTGTGTACCCATGAGCCCATGTGGTAGAGCACAAGAGAAGAGCAGGCCTCCTATCTCAGCTCCAGGTCAGAGGGACTTGCCACCAAGCAGAGATTTATGGACGCCTTGCACAGACACAAAAATATTCAGACAGTGAAGTCACTGATACAGCCCAAGTCTACTTTGAAATTTTGTATCTTCTTGCAGTAACTCTGAATTATGAGGCTTCATAATCTGCCTTCTCATATATCCTGTCCTCATTTCATCTTTTTGGGCTAATTGGTGGGACTTTTAATTTTTATCTGTAAATGTCATCAGCACAGGCTCCTTTGGGTAGCCATCCAGTCCTCTGAACTGTAGAACTGTAACTTAAAAATAAAAAAAAAAAGTTTATAGTAAAGACACCAAATCCTTTCCTTTGTCTGGCAATGGTGGAATCCCTGGAGATAGAAAACCACCCTGCTACAGAGAGAAAGGTAGCATGGGTATAGAAAGAATAAGGGAAGGAGCTGGTGTTTCTAGGCAGGTTATCAAACTGACATTGTGAATATTTTTACGCAGAAAGTTTATTAAAGTAACAAATATTTCCTGGAGATCCACCCTGGGTGAGGCTTTGTGTTGATTTTAGAGATCACTGTAGAGACAAGAATTCATTTCTTACATATTTTATTCATTATTCTTGAAAAAGGAAATCCTTCAAATCTTCAATTTAAGACTCTCAGAAAAAGATAGGATTTTCTATCTGAAAATTTCAGGGTTTTCTTTGTATCTCTGCCACAGTATGGGGGCAGGATAGGGCATCCAGGTGTGGCCCCCTTCTACTAGGCACAAGCTGGCCAGACCCAGGGCGGCAGCAGCAGCAATGTGGCCTAGGGAAGCTAAGGGGCTGGGTGGCATGGGGGCCCCAACTCACCAGAGTTCCCTGGTGTCACCCCCATCTACTGAAAATGTGCTACTTCTAGCTATGCCCACAGTGACTGTCCTCACTGCCCACCCCTGTGCCATGTGGTGTGTGTGTGTTTCCCACTGACAATGAATAAAAGATGTGACTGTGCTGAGACCTCTGTTCTTCCTGCTGGGTGGGGGCTGGGGTGAGGGCAATAGAACTCTATGCATCCCATACAGTGGGGACACCTCAGCCATCTCCTTGGGACCAAAGTCTTTGTCCTAGCAAGGATTTTGGTCACATGGCACAGGAACACACTTGGATCAAAGAAAGAGGGGAGCAGATCATAAGGAGGCTGGAGGTGGAAAATCAGGAAAGGCTGGGTCTCAAGAGAATGGGGCTGGCCCTCTTAGCTGTGGCTCATGGGCTCTTCTCCCATAGGCAGCGTCTGCATCTGTGTCCAGGCCCGTGGCTTCTCCTCAGAGGTCCTTAGTTTCCCTGCACAGAGTGACTGTATCTCCATTCCTGCATGAAGGCATGACAGTGACAGACATTTCTACTCTGTCATTTAGTTCTAGTTCTCAAGCTCAGGACCTATTTGGATTGGCTTAGTTTTGGGGATGGTCCTTGGTCAGGCATCTGCTCTTGATCCAACCATCTGAGCCAGACTGGACACAACTCAGCATTTCCCCCAAAAGGAAGCTAATGGCAGCAGTATGGCATGGTGACTGAGTTTTTCTCTCTGTCCAGTGGAAGATATCACAAGAGCCCAAACACGGGGCCAGTGGCCAGTAGAAAGAAAAGCTAAGAGCCAGGGAGACATTTAGTTCATATGCTGTACTTTGTACAAATTAGGAAAAGGTACAACCAGGGATGGTGGCACATGGCCTATAACCCCAGCACTTCAAGTGATTGAGGCAGGAGAACCACAAGTTTAAATTCAATGAGGGCAATTTAGCAATGTAGTGGGGCCATGTTTCACAAGTTTTTTAAAAGGGCTGTGGATATAGTTGAGTGTGAAGGCCCTGGTTGGAATCCTTGGTACAAGGAAAAAAAGAAGGAGGAAAGAGAAGGGGAAAAAAAAATACTCTTGGAGTGGAAGCAACCCCACAAGTATGCAGTTAGGCAGTGAGTGGCACCTTTGGGTTATTTAGAAAAACATACCCCTGTTTCTGTACCAGTGCAGCCCCACCTGCCCTGCTTGTTCCACCATCCATAGGACTGAAGCCCTGAGACCCCTAAACTGGCCCAGCTGTGCAAGAATAGGTGAGGGGATGAAGTGCTCCTGAGGAGCTGCCAGAGGTACCTGCTTCTTTCTGAAATGCTTGATTGCTTCTACAAGGGTTTCCTCAAGGACACCTGGAGGGGGCAGCTCCCTTGGCAGGAAGCAATTAATACCAGAGGAAGGAGGCTGACGGAGCCTCAGGGTAACCATCAACCCGAGGAGGTGACTCAAAAGCCTGAGAACTCCAGGCTGCTCTCCCTAGCTGACGCCACTCGGCACAGGGCAGGCGGTATGGACCCACCTCCTGCCGCGGCAGGTGCAAGCAGCATGGGTTGCCTTCCCACCCCCCATCTTGGGGTCCCTCGTATCTTTTGCCCAATCACATTGGTCCACCTCCTATGCTCAGCTTTGCTCTCTGTCTGGTCTCACTGCCACCACGAAGCTAGAGCAATCTTCTCTGAGTACACTCCTGACATACCAGCTATGCAAGAGCTCACTTGGCCCTCAGTGTAATCTGCCCCTAAAATGTCCCTCAAGGCCCTCAGTGATTGGCACTCACTGGCCCCAAAACCTTGCTCTTGGTCTCACATCACCCCTCGAACCTGCGCTTGAACCACCTTGAATTATCCTCTTCTTCTTCTATCTTCCTGCATTTTCCTAAGGACTTGCTTGGGCCTCTAAAATTGTGCACAACAGGCCATTGCCCTTCCTTAGGCCACATATTCCCCTGACCCAGTGGCTTGTACTCTGTGAAGCTCTTGACTGACCCCTCCTGCACACACTGTCTATCATAGTAGAGCACATATAAGGGATTTTCGTTTTATTTTGTTTTGTGGCACTGGGGATTGAACCCGGGGCCATCAGCCTAAGCTACGTTCCCAGTTCCCTTTTTTGGGAGAGGGTCTCACTTAGTTGCTAAATTGCCCAATGTTTGAATTTTCAGCCCCCCCCCCCGCCTCAGTTTCCAAATACTAGGATTACAGGTGTATGTCACTATGCCTAACTATATCCCCACTTTTTAAGACAAGGGAATAACAGCTCAGTGACTGGTAAATTTGGAACTTGAACTCAAGTCTCCCAACATGACTTTCTGAGCCATGGAAGGGGACCCAGATCAGATTGTGAAAAGGGGAAGCAGAAAACCAAAAACTCTGGGCTTCAGAGGAGGATCCTGCCTGGTGGTGGTGGGGATCAGTAAAGAGCTGAGGGAAGAGATGTATTTGTGGAGGGTGTGGCATCTGCTTTGGACTTTTATGAATGCCAGCCAACAAGAGCAGACATACACAGGGTGGCCCAGGGAATAGTTGAGGTGTGGGATCTCTTTCCAGTTTACTTCTCTGAAGAAATGCCAAACTTGGAGGGAAAGTGCTGGCTAGAACCCAAGAATACAGAGCCAGGGAACCCCTGCACCCAGCCTGCTCTCAGGAAGTTGAGGCAAGTCAGAGAGGGACAGCCAGAAGCCCAGAAAGATGGAAAGAACTGCTGAGGATCCAGTTCTCTAACCCTTCCAAAAAAAAGCCCAGGGAAAGCTCTTTCTGGGCAGGCTTCCTTGGTGGCATGTCTGTGTGAATAAAGGGAAATGTGTTAGTCATCATCTTTGGTTACAGGTGAGCAAAATCTAACTCACATGAGTTTAAGCAAAAAGAGAGGCTTATTGGCTTGGCTCATGTAACTGGGAAGTTCCTGCCCTGTTGGATTACAGGCTCTGTGTTCCACTTTCTCCCTCCTTGCTTCCGCCTTTTTCTCTATGACCTGGTTGTCCTCCAGATGGACTTCTTCCATGTACTCTCACTGACACAGGGAGAGATGGGCCCCCAGTTCACATCATCCCAAATTAATGACCCCAGAGGAAAAAAAGCCAAATATCCCCAGCATCCTTTGTGAGCACCCAGAGATGGTTACACCATCATCCCTGGACCAGACACCATGTCTAGGGAAACAATTGGTCAGGTCTTGGTCATAAGAGTACTCCTTTGCCAGGGAGGCAGGGAGGCAGAGCTTATTACTGGAAGAGGTTGGGAAAGGTAGGTTGGTCAAGCAAAACCCACAGCTACTAACTTCCTTCTGTGAGACCTTTGTTGAAACCATGTGAGGAAAGCCATGGAAAGCAGGTATGTCAGTTGGCTCATTCTGCTAATAAAGACTTTCTCCCCCACTTCTGCTTGACATTCTGTATGACTGCAGCCTGCTCATGTGCACTTGGGTCTCTTGGGAGCCAATAATATTTCACAGCATCCCCAGTCATTTTTGAGGTTGACTACCCAGACCCTATTTCCCAATTTAAAATTCGTTAGGAATTGGAATTTTGTGGGCCCACATCATCTCTTCAAGCCAGCTTCATAGGTGAGAGCTACTGAGTGTGGGATGGTTCATCTTTGTGTCAAGTGCCATCCCCTACAAAATAACCACTCTAAACATTTTCTCCAAGTGACTACATCTTTTTCTATGAGGAAACTGTGAATAATCAACCTCTACCTAGACTTTTAAATTGTTATTGCTGTGTGACAATCTATCTCAAAATTTAGTGCTTAAAACAAGATTAATTTGTCACTTTTTATTACATGAGTTGGCTGGGCTCAGCAGGAAGGTTTTAGTGCTCCTATTGGCTGGAGTCACATAGCTGCACTATACTGGGAGTGAGCCCTGAGCTGGAACCAAAATGGCCTCACTCATGTGTCTGACAACTGGTCTTGAGAGCCACCTGGGGAAGCTCAATTCTCCTCCACTGGGTCTCCTCCTCCTCCTTCATCTTCCTCCTTTTCCTCCTCCTTGTGCTTGAAATTGAGCTCAGGGCCTCACACATGTTCAGCACAAGCTCTACCCCTGAGCTACACCTCAGCCCCTTTCCTGGTTTCTTACCCTGCAGGGCTTCATCTCACCATGTGGCCTTTTCTATTTCTGTTGTTGTTGTTGTTGTTTTTGTTGTGACATGATCTCACTGCATAGTTCAGGCTGGCCTAAAACTCATAGCAATTCTCTTGCCCCAGCCTCCCAAGTGCTGAGATTATAGATGTGGGCCACCATCTCAGGTATCAGGTGGCCAACTCAGCACACTTTTGTACATGATAGCTGCCACCAGGATGACAGAAATGGAATTATCAAGGTCTTCTAGGTTTGGAAACCATATCACCTCATTTCTATTGGACCTCTTAAAGGGCCAGCTCCGAAAAGACTCCATCTCCAAGAGGAAGGGGTCCCTGTCACATTATCAAAGGGCAGGCAAGATGGGAGAGGCTTGAGGGCCATTCCAGAAAATTTCCTACCAAGTCAGGAGACGAACAGGTCTACGTTTTTATCATTGTTATTTCCCCCTTCCTCTTACACGTGACTTGTTCCTCCCAGGACATGATGGAGGCCGTGCAGATCTCTCCATTCTGTACTCCCTTCCCGAGACCAAGGCTTCTCTAGCTAAACCAGTGTTTCTTTTGCTTCTCTCCCATTTCCTTTACCCCTACCCTCATTCCTGCACACCTCTGAGAGAGATGCTGTCTGCTTCTGGGCCTTGTACCTTGGGATGCATGATAGTTGTACTACAACTCTGCACTAATATCCAAAATGATGGCCTCAAATTCTTTGGTTCAGAGCCCCCCCACACCTCTCTACAACTGTTTCTTCTTTTTTTTTTTAGTTTTATTTTCATTGGTACACGCTTATAGTACACAATTCATACATTCCTCGTGGACTTGCAGCCTCTTGGAAACATAACTGCCTATTCCAAGTCCGGCTGTTGAGCCTGGGAACGTGCGCCCTCTGCTGGCTATAAAGAATTTGGGGGCGGTGTCCCTGGATGTTCCACCCCCCACCCCCACCCCCAGGGTCTGGGTCTCCGGCGAGGCCAAGGGGACATAGTATCACCATAGACTTAAAAGGTTTCTCCGCAGTCGGGTGGACGACCTACCCTCCACTTGCTACCACTTGGGGTCGGGGCTGTCCATCCGACACTTCCTCTCTGCTAGATGCACTGAGGTCCGCTCAGAATCTCAGGGTCCTGGCATCGAAGACGACCAGAGGGACAATTAGTTTTTTGTGGACTTTTCTTTTGGAGTGGAGGAGGTTTCTAGCTTTTTATTTTCTCATTTGGGGATCACTATTGTGGGGGGAAAGTGGTGAGGCCTCTTTTCTCTCACTCAGTGCCCTTGAGCAGTACCCTGACCACCCCAAGTCCGCAGCAGCTACCAGCGGGATATCAAGACCCCACCTCCATGACCTCTGCCTTTTCGTTCTACGCTTGGCTCAGTCGGGAACCGAGAGCCTAGCTGTCCCCCAAAACACACGCAGGGCAGCTGCACCCAGGCGACGGCGGACAAGTCTGCCTCCCCTGCCCACCGCGGGGGCGGCGCCCGCTCTTCCGTGCCCTCCCCGCCTCTTTCCGCGCCCCGCACCTCCTGCCCGCAGCAGCCCGCGAACTTCGCGCCTCCCGCCTGCTTGGGCCGGGCCGGGCCGGACCGGATCAGATCCAGCATGGAGCCCCGGGAGCCCCGAGAGCCTCGGGAGCCCCGCGAGCCCGGGCTGGGGGCAGAGACAGCTGCGGCCCCACACTGGGAGAAGGCTAAGACTTTCTATGACAGCTCTGCTCCCAAGAAGAAACCCAAATCGGTAAGAGCGAGCAATGGGTCTGGCGGGTTGGGCGGAGAAAAGGTCGCTCCCAGGAAGGGGTCGCCGGCTCGGGAAGGGACCAGCGGCGCCGCTCCAGGAGGGGGCGCAGTCCTCAGACCCCGAACGACGCACCCGGCACTTGGCGCGGGCTCGGGTCTATTTTGGGAGCTCTGCTCTGGCAGCGCTGATGACGGCGTTTTCTTCCCCTGGGCTTGGGTTCTACGCCAGGCCCCCTCCCCCATGCTGTCATCGGGACCCAGCGCCTGGCAGCGGTCGCCGCAGTCCCTCCCAGCACGGGCAGCCAGGCGCTCAGGACACACTTGTTGGCGAGGGCGTCCCCGGCTAGGGTAATCGGACTCAAAACCTGGCTTCTCCCTGGGCTCTCGGGTCTCCAGCACCTGCACTGGGCCTCTGGCTAGGGCTCCGTCAGCCGGTCCTGGCGCAGCGTTTCCTGCATCTCAATAGTAGAGAGCAGCTCGCTCTCTGCGACCCGGGTCTGGGTCTGGGCTCTGCCCCCAGCTGCCAGCGCTGCTCCTTTCCGCCTCGGACAGTAAAATCCTGGCGACCTCCATGCTGGCCTCAGCCCTCTGAGACCTCGCGTACAGCATCAGCTCCTCTTTCCTGCGAGATAAGTTCGTGATGACTTGATCTGCCCTTGAGCTCCTTCACTCCGGGTTCCCAGATCTCAGAGTCTGGGAAAGGAACTGAGGACCAAGGCAGCCTCCAAAGACTTCCAGTCCGGCCTTCGAGCATCTGACTATCGTCCCTGAACCCCGTCCAGGCCTGGGCTCACAAGGGGCTGATATTAATTGAGCTGTACTCTTGTCTCAGGTCACACCGCATGAATGGAGGCTCTGGAGATGGTGGGTGCCCAGGTAAAATGTGCTCCATGGCACAGCGGGAGCACAGGGCAGGAGCGACGGGGGGCCTTGTGCAACAGCATCCGAGCTGACCTTAACGCCTCAGTAGCTGCGAGTTCCCGGGCAGAGGGAAATGATGGGTGAAAATCAGGAGGGCCGGGTTAGGGAATCAGTACTGAGTAGGAGGGAGTGGGATTGTTGGGGGAGAGGTGGGGGACGGCAGAGCACCCCACTATTGAACAGCCAGGAGTGCCTTGTGAAAAAGCTTGAACCTTATTGATGGGACTGAGGTTTTCAAACTGAATTTGGTGAAACCCATGTTTCAGGAGGTCTGTGGACGTGCGAGGCCAATTTATATTCTTATTCTAGTTATATATTTTTATTTTAAAATTTATTTTTACCTGTAGATGTTTGCACCTCATTGTGATTACATTCAATCTGGGGGTTGGTGCATGGACACCTCTTCTCTTTTCATTGCCTCCTCTCCTCTTCCTCCCTGTTTCTTTCAATTCTTAGTCTCCTTCCCATTTGCAAAGATCTGTTTCCATTTGTTTCTTTTTTCTTTCTTTCTTCTTTCCTTCCTTCTTTATTTTTCTCTTTATTTCTTTCTTTTCTTTTTGTTGTTCGGTGGTTTTTGGTTTTTTGTTTTTTTTTTCGAGACAAGGTCTCATTCTATACAATTCAGAGTCTCACTGTACTTTAGGTTGGCCTTGAACTCACTATATAGCGCAGGCTGGCCTGGAGCTTGCAGTGATCCTCCTGCCTCAGCTTCCCAAACGCTGGGATTACAGGCATGTGCCACAATACCCACCTCCATTTTTCTTTAATTCTTTTCTTTTCTTTCCCCTTTTCTTCCCTTCCCTCCTTCCATCGTTTGTTCTCCTTCCCATTTGAAAAAGCTCTCTCTACTTCCTATTGTCTTTTATTTTGCTTTTTATTTATATCTTGGATTTCTCATATAAGAGAAACCCTGGGATATTTAAGCTTATGTGTCTAATTCATTTAATATTATGATCTCAAGGTGCATCCATTTACCTGCTCAAGTTTATTGCTCTTTATGGCAGAGAAGTACTCTATTGTGTGTAAATACCTTTATTCATTCATCTACCAAGGAGTTATAGGCCATTCCCAAAATGTGGCCATTATAAATTGTGCTGCTATAAACATATCTATGCTGTATTACTGTAATATAATGATTTTAACTCTTTCAGCAAGATACCTAGAAGGGGAATAGCTAGGTTCAATAGGATTTCTATCTTTAGTTTTTTGGAAAATCTCTATATTAATTTCCATAGTGGTTGTACAATCCTATCAACAATTTAGAAGAGTTTACCAGCAATTGTTATTTGATTTCTTTCTCTCTTGCTCTCTCTTTTTGGTACTGGGAATCAAACTTAGGATGTTGCACTTGCCCGGCAGGGACCGTGCCACTGAGCTATATCCCTGGCTCTCTTATTTGATTTCTTGATGATAGCCATTCTGTCTGAAATAAGATGGAATCTGTGTATTGCTAGGTTTGTTTTGTTTTGTTTTGTTTTTTTTAGCAGAACCAGGGATTGAACTCAGGCCCTTGAGGGAAGCGCCTATTCCACTGTGCCATCTGCCCGGCCCCCTGTGTATTGTTTTCAACTTGCACTTATCTAATGCTCAGTGATGTGGAATATTTTTGTATTTCTTTTAAGAAGTGTCTATTCATTTTATTTGTCCATTTTTTTTAAAAATTTGGGGCTGTCTAATTTGGTTGAGTTCTTGACATATTCTACATGTTAGTCTTCTATCTGAGAAATAGCTGGCAAATTTTTTTTCCATTCTGTAGGTTGTCTCTTCGCTCTGTTAGTTGTTTCTTTTGCTGTGCAGAAACTTTTTAATTTGATGTGACCCCATTTGTTGATTCTCAGTATTATTTTTGTACTATTGGTGTTCTGTTCAGAAATCAAATTATATTTTAAACAATTATATTCAAATATGTTCATTGGGTGTTTCAGCACCTTGAAGACCACTATAACTTGTGGTACACATTATTTTTTTAGCAAACCCCAAAATAAAGATTTTCCTCTGATTCTTTAACAGGAGAGCATCTCAGGATTGCAGGATTTGTAATTTAAAATGAAACAAAATTTTTTAAAAACCTCTTCCTGTTTACAATCACTTATCAGAGTGAATCAGAACTGCTATTGTTTGTGTCTAGTTGTCCCCCCAAAGCCTGATGCAGTCATGGGATGGACTTCTAGAGTTTGTGATTAAATCATGATCCACTGGGGTTATGAGTGTGAGTGCTGCTGGGATTATGCTTATGAGTGCTACTCCCAGGCTGGGGTGGATAGCCTGAATGCAATTTAAGGGAGACAGACCTGCTCTCTGTAGCCATTGTTGCTGCTACTTCTCCATTTTGCTCTCTGCTCTTTGTTGCCCTCTGCCATGTGCCGCTCTGCCTTGGAACCAGCTGAGTATGGACTGAAACCTCCAGTAACTGTGAGCGAAATAAACCTTTCCTTCTTTCATTTTGGGTGCCAGGTATTTGTCCCAGCAACAGGAGAAAATTCACCGAGACTGAATTTGGTACCACAGAAGTGGGGTCATTATTGTGACTAAACCTGACCATATGGATTACAAGCTTTTGGGAATGGTTTATGGGAAGAGATAGGAAAAGTTTGCAGATGTCACCTATAAGAGAAATGCTGGAACAGCTTTGGTTGTTTTGTACTTGAGATTCTGGTCAGAGCTCAGAGCAGAAGACTAATAGAAAGCCTGCCAGTAAAGACCAGACTGGAGAGGTTTCTGCTGGGAAGAGGAACTGCATTGGTAGTTGGACTCCAGGTGATTTGTGTTACAGCATGGCAGAAAGTTTGTCTGGATTTTGCTTGTGTCCAGAGACTTTGCCTGAGGCTGAAATTAAATATAGCAGACTAATCTTTCAAAAGAAATCTCAGAGCAGTCGAATATTTCTTTTGAGGGAGTGGCATGGCTTTTGTTGGGGGCTTTTGTCAGATTTATGTTGAGAATCAAGAGCAAAGAGCCTAACAGGATGATTTAAAATGTTGGACTAGTAAGATAGCTCAGGGGTCTAAAGCACCTGCTTAGGCAAATTTAGGCAAACACAGGGACCAAGGTTCTACCCTGGCACCACATGCTGCACCAGCCCCACCCCCACAGAGGGCGGAGCCAGCTACCAAAAATATAAATAAATAAATAGTGAGTTTGGTGAGAAAGGAAGCTCCAATAAAGTTGTGTAAAATGGGGGGCTTGCAGGTTAGCTCAGTTGTTTAAAGCGCCTGCTTAGGCAAACTCAGTCAGGCGCAGGGGACTGTGGTTTGATCCCCAGCTCCAATTCTGTACCAGACCAGCCCTTAAGGCAGCCTGAGCCAGCCAAAAAAAAAATCCTTCTAAAGCTGTGGAAAGTAAAGATAGAATTGAGAGGATCTACACTGCCAAGAAGGAAAAAGAAAAGGATGGCCTGAGGACATGACTGAAAACAGCAGGTCTCCACCCTTTGCAGCCTCAGAATTGCAAGGGTGAGGGACTTTGCCTTGAGGAAAAGCCACAGAGCCCCATGTTCCAGAATGATGGCAGTGGCTACACAGGGCTCCAGAATGGCACTGATATAGAGAATGTGTTCCTTGGAATCAGGGTCAGAGTGCTCAGCAATCCAGGTACTCGACCCCTACAGTCAAGAGAAAAGAAACCTGGCTACTGCTCCAGCTGGCAGCGGACCTTGGCATCATCCGCATGGCATTGGCTTTAGGTACTTGCAGAACGCAAGAGTTCTGAGGTTAAGAAGGCTTCCACCTCGATTTCAGAAGGTCTGGGAGACCAGGCGGTGTGCCTCTAAGAGGGCAGAGTGTACAGCTGTGAGTGAGAAGCCTATTCAGTGGAAACCCCAGAAGTTCGGAAAAGCCAGGAATGTGGATCATCTAAGGGAAACTGCAAGGAGGGAGCAAAGCTGGCCTGGGAGAGAAACCATGGGAGCTACCACCAAGAGTGCCATGGGGTGGAGCCATATGGAGCTTACAATTTGCCACAGATTGCTTCAGATGTTCCACATGTAACTATAGGTTTAATGTTTGTCCTTCTGGATTTTGGACTTGCTTTGGTCCTAATGCTTGGTATCCTGTGTTTACCTTTTGGAATGGTAATGTTTATCTTGTACCATTGAATGTTGGAAGTGTTTAACTTTTCATTTGTACAGGGCTCACAAGCTAAGAGTTTGCCTTAGGTCTTGGAGGACACTTGGGACTTGGACTATTCAGCAATGCTGAAACTGTTAGGACTTTGGCAACTCTTAGAGATGGACTAAAATGTCTATTGCACAAAGGAATATGCATGAGTCTTTGGGGGTCCAAGGGCAGAATGTTATGGTTTGTGTCTAGTTGTCCCCCCAAAGCCTTACACAGTCATGGGATGGACTTCTGGAGTTTGTGATTAACTCTTGATCCACTGGGATTATGGGTGTGAGTACTATTCCCAGCCTGGAGTAGTGAGCTTGAATGCAATTTAAGGGAGACAGACCTGCTCTCTGTAGCCATTGTTGCTGCTACTTCTCCATTTTGCTCTCTACTCTTTGCCGCCGCCATGAAAGGTTGCTCTGCCATGTGCTGCTCTGCCTTGGAACCAGCTGAGTGTGGACTGAAACCTCCAGTAACTGTGAGCTAAATAAACCTTTCCTTCCTTCATTTTGGGTGTCATGTATTTGTCCCAGAAATGAGGGAAGAGTAACTGAGACAAGGAATTTCTCAATACTGTGCAAAAACAAACAAAAATAAATCAGCTGGACGCTGAAGCTTAAGACTGTGCTAGTTTCAGATTTGTGGTCATCTAAACAACTGTATTGTTTTCAGTGGTTGACTTTATAATACATTTATTTATAACATACTTTTGAATTTGTAAAATAGGCATACCAATTATATATGGTAATATCTGGCTTACATATCAGGGTTCTGACTAAGAAGTCATCAGAATAAAAAGTCAACCTACTTTAAAAAAATAAATGGAGCCATTGCAGGATTTTTCAACAGGGGATTAACTTGGTCCCATTTTTGTTCTAGAAAGATCATACTGGGATCTTTGTGAGATGAACCATGATGGGTGGGCCTAGCACCCATGAGAAGGCAGAGCTGGGTCACTGTCACAGTGTGAGGGGTGGAGAAGAGGAGGTGGACACTAGAGTCTGGGATAGTGAATACTTTGGTGCTCAAAATCCTTCTCCTCCCAGGCACCAAGGAAGCAGTGAGCTCATGCTCAGCCATCGGTCATAACACGGCCCTTTGGTCAGGCCCTGACCCTCACGGTTCTTTAGGACAAGGAACCTGGAGGCTTCCTGCCTCCTGTTCCTCCCTCCAGTCTTCCCACAGGCTATTTTGGGGGCTGTAAACCTCATGGGCCATATCAGGGCCTGGCCTGGTGGTGTTCTCATTCCCAGGAGCTGGAGTGAAATATTAGCTGAGTGAAGACTCATTGGAGGCCCTCACATCATAGAGTTAGAGGACTGCCTCTGTCCAGAGCTGCCCTGTCCCTGTCTCCCCGATAGCCTTTCTCTATTCAGAAATAAGTTTTTTTGGCTCTGTTCCTATCTTGGATGCAGTAGGGAGAATCATGTTGGTTGGAATGGAAATGTGATGGTAGTTTCTCAGGCAGGCAGAAGGCAGGACCAAGGAGGCTGGGCGCCTTTGTTATTCTTCCATCCCCACCCCCAAGCCAGTGTGGTCAGCCTGGGCCTCAGCCCAGTGCAAGGCAGACAGCTGGCAGGATCCTGGCCTTCTGGAGCCCAGTGCTCCCAGGCTGAGCCCCTGGCTTGTTTTGACCCAATTCTCATCTGGGATGTGGGCTCCTTTCTGGTCCTGGTGCACCTGACCACTCATGGCCTGGTGACAGAGACCCAGCCAGGCACAGAGGGTCTGTATGCCTCAGCTCCTCCCAGCTCTGGCTAGCTCCTTTACCTGTCCCCTCAGATCCCCCAGAGCCTGGACAGCCATTCATCTATACCAGCTGAGTCCTGCACTTTCTCCTCCATTCTGGGAGGAAAGTGTGCTGGCCCTGAGACAGCACAGTCAGAGAACATAGTGTTTCTCACCACTGAACCCAAATCTGGATGGGGAGGCTGAAGAAGCCACTGAAGAAACAGAAGCAGCTTTGAGGACGGCCACAGCAGGTGGACTACTGTGTGGACAGAGTCCAGGCCAGAAGACAGAGATTTGGGATCTTGTATCCGCTCTAACTTGACTTTGCTCTATGGCGTGGAATAGTATCTTGCCCCTCTCGGAGACTATCGCCCCATCTGTAAAGCCTCCTGGGGCCATAGTAACCAAGATATTTTGTCTTGCAATTGCCAGGATAGGCTGGGTTGGGGTCTGGGTAGCTCAGCCAGAGGGGGCCCAGGACTCAGCAGTCAGGCGCATATGTGAGACAGAAAGTGGCGAGTGAGACGCTGGCAGGATGTCCAGGCTAGAGCAGCAGGCTTGGGAACTGCCTGGAGGGGCTGGAAAGCAACTGGCTCTGTCCTTGAGGAGGGGACAGGCTTGTTCCAATCCAGTAAACCCAGCACCCAGCACACTGGGGTAGGTGTGGGGATGGCAAATTCAGCCCCATCTGAGACCCTCCCACCTCCTAGGTTTGCGGGAGTTGATCTCTCCCCAATCCTGAGCCTGCCCTGGCCATCCTTAGCTGTCTCTCAGAAACACCTTTCCTTTGGGTCTTCTGCTTTTAGCCTCTTTTCTCAAGGAGCCACAAGTGCAGCTGGGGTTGGGAAGTGTCCGGCCCAAGGACGCACGGACATGTAGTCATGGTCAGTCCCTGGCTGAGACACCAGGGCTGAGTCTCAGAGGAAGAGTACCTGTTCTCCCACTGCCTTGCCCTGGTCCTGCAGACCATGCATGCTGTCTTGGTTGGGGTTAAAAGCCACGTATAAACTGAGGTCAGCCACCAACAGTAGGGAATCCTTCACGTTCCATTTCTATTTTAAGTTTCTAGAGCTTAATAACCTCTGTCCCTACTTAGTTATTTACATTCATTAAAATCAAATGAAATTAAGAACTTAGATCTTCAGAGTTACTAATCACATCTCAAGTCACTCCATAGTCCCACCCACTATGAAATATTGATCCCATTATCACAGAAGTTCCACTGGGCAGTGCTTTCTGGAAGATTGTACCAATCTGTATTGGAGGTGCATCATAAACTCCACAGGGGCCAAGATCAAATGTGCATTGTTTGTGCAGCGTCACCAGTAAGTGTCTGTCACATGGTAATCCCTCAGTGTTGCCAACTCATTGGAGCCCAGGCTTAGTGCCGAAACGAAGCAATGGGGCCAGGTAAGTGGCTCACAAGGCTCCCAGGCACAGGTCAGAAAGCAAGGCCCTTTATGAGTCTCAACCTCCATTTGAGTCCCCCCCTCATCTGTAAAGGAAGAATCATGATCCCAGAACTTCCATGTCACAGAGATTGGCGGGACTCTTGGAATCCATGAGCCCCTTGGCACCACATTCAGAAGCTGCACAAGGGTACAGCTGCTGTCCGTGATAGCACGCACTTCTTGTTTCGTCAGGGTTGGGTGTCTTAGTCCCTTCGAGCTGCTATAACAAAGTGCCATAGACTGGGTGGCTTATTCTGTAAACAGCAAAAAATTCATTTCTCACAGTCTTGGAGGCTGGCAATCCAAGATCAAGGCCCCAGCAAACTCTTGAGCTGTGTCCTCACATGGCAGAGTATGCAAGTCAAGCTCTCTGGTTTCTCTTTTATAAGGACACTAAACTCATCATGACTTAATCACTGCTCACAGGCCTCAGCTCTTAATACCACCACCTTGGTCTAAAGACAGACATTTTAAGGGGACATAAACAATCAGATGCAGAGGTGGGGAAATAGTTCTAAGGCCTTCTGGGGTCCCTGAGGAGTTCTGAGGCCTCTTGCCATCTAGCACCTGCCTGCTTTTGTGGCTCAGTGAGGCACTCCCCCATATGCCCTAGGCTGTGCTTACCTTTGCAACTTCCCTTCCTCCCTTCATCCACTCTGCTCCTCCTTGAAGGCTCCACTCAAAGGCCTCCTTTCCTCTTAACTTGCTCAGAAGCTGTATCATCAGGTCTGCTTCAGCCTTTGTGTCTGAATTAGTTCTCTGTTTTCTTATCTTTTCCACCAGCCTGTGAACTCTAAGGGCAGTAGCCAGCTTTCCAGGTACCTGAGGCAAAGAACCATAAATTTTTGTCAAATTTATGTCAACTAAAAAAGATACTCTCTGAGAACCTACTATATCTGTCAAGTAATTGAACTGAGAGGTGAGGGAGGGTACTACCCTGGAGTTTCTATTAAAAGTTCAGAGGCATTAAAAGTTTGCTGGGTGTTGCTCCAGGCCAGGCATAGTCTTAAGTACTACAGATACAGTAAGGACCACAATACACATCACATTGTTCCTGCTCTCATGATTTAAGCAGGTCTCCTGCTTCCTCCCTGGAACTCTGCCTAGAAAGAGAAATAGTGAAGCAATTCTAATTTAATGTTTAATTGTGCTAAGAGAGAAATTCATAGGCTGGGTGTCAAATGGAAACTCTGGCGAGGGCAGGCTTCCCAGAGGTGAATTTATTTTGAGAGCTGAAGGTGAAGTTAGCCAGGTAGACAGAACAGGAAACAGCATATTGGGGAAAGACATCCTGCTCAAAGGCTCAAAGGAAGAGGACCTAGGTGGGCACAGATGTGAGAAAGGTCAGATTGTGAGCAAAGCTGAGAAGGGGAAGCCGAGAGGAAAGAGAAGTGAGAGTGTATTGCCAAGGGTGTCCAGCTCTATTCTGAAGGCTGCCAAATTAACTTTGAGGAGGGTGGGCACTGCTGAAGAGGGAGGCTGTGAGCAATTCTACACTGCAGAAAAATCCCCTGGCAGTAATGTGGGTGGGAAATTGCAGGAGGAGAGAAATGAGGGTGACTCTGGCCTATGGAAAGCAGAGCAGAGAGGAGCGGATAGACTCCACCGGTAGCATGGAGTGGTGACTGGTGGGGAAGGGAGGCGAGGGAGGGGGGAAGCTGAGCTTGTGTGGATAGTGGAGCTGTCCACTCATCCAATGGAGGTCTGGGTGGGGGGACAGTGCTGTTGAGTCCCAAGATGAGGAAAAGAGGGAAGGGTGGGGCTTGAGGGCGGAGAAAGTGGTGGGAATTCAGCCTTGGCTGTGGTGCATTGGAGTGTCTGTTAGTTCACCGGAGCAGTTAAGTAAGAGTCTGGAGCTCAGGAGACAGGTGTGGGCCAGCGATAAGTTTTCTTATGTGATCGCCATGTTTCTGGGCACCAATTTCTTCCTAAGAGCATGTGGCTCTCATTTCAGAATGGTAACCATCTGGAGATCATCTCAAGCATCAGGTTTATTTTGCCAATGTACCTTGTATTTATTTTTCCTTTGTGTCCAGATGGCCACCTAAATTGCAGACTCCCCAAGGGCATGGCCCTCCTTTAGCTGACACTTCTAAGTGGGGAGTCCCCAGCTGCTTCTGTGTGAATGCAGACCTAAGTCTGCCCCTTCCCAAGGATGAGCCTCTTTGCACCTGAGTCTGGGCCCGGGTCTCCTCCAAGTCCCAGTTCCCAGAGGCGCCTGCACATGCACACCTGCCCAGGGAGCATCCGAGTGACTCTCTCCTGCACCTCTGCAGCCCAAGCCTCAGAATGCAATCACCATCGCAGTGTCTTCCCGGGCCTTGTTCCGCATGGAGGAGGAGCAGAGGATCTTCCAAGAGCAGGGTGTGGAGGAGTATGTGCGCTATCAGCTGGAGCACGAGAATGAGCCCTTCAGCCCCGGACCAGCCTTCCCCTTTGTGAAGGTGAGGGGCTGTTCCAGCAGCAGCCCACCCTGTGTTTTGGTGGGGAGAGGTAAAAGCATCCCTGTGGGTATCCAAGTAATGAGAAGTAGTCCCTTCTGGGTAGTGCGACCCGACAGGGACCAGGTTTGGTTGGGGGTGGAGACAGCCCTGGTGGGAAGGAAAGGTCACCCTTCCTCTGGACAAATGCAGATCTCCCAAGGTAAGCGTACTCACCCCTATAGAGAGGTACCCCTGAGAAGCAAGAGCCCCGCCCCAAGATGGCAGAGAATGGCATTAAGAGATAGTACACGTGCCCTGATCTCGCTAGTCCCAAGCCCGGCCTCCCTCCTCCCTCATTGCATCCCGGCCACCAACATTCCAGGTGTCCATCCTGGGGGTTCAGAGCTGGTGGGTGCTCTCTCTCTCTCCCTTCCAGGCCCTGGAGGCTGTGAACCGGCGGCTCCGGGAGCTGTACCCAGAGAGCGAGGACATCTTCGACATCGTCCTCATGACCAACAACCACGCTCAAGTGGGAGTCCGCCTGATAAACAGCATCAACCACTATGGTGAGCACAAGGGGGGGGGGGGGGGGACCCTCCCGCGCCCCCTGGCGGCAGGCGCTGGTAAACTGACCCTTCGAAGACCAAATGAACAAAACTCTGATTTGAAGCGTTGTCAGTTTTCAGGGTATAAATAAGCCTACCATGGTTGATTTTAGGCTATCAGTATTGATCAAAATAATAGCTTTCAAAATCCCTGAATGTTTTGCCATCAGCTCATATAGGCCAGCTGCAGCATACACTGTGCTGAGCCCACTCCCTGTGCCTGAGCGCTTGCCTCTCTTCCTGTGATGACCCAGCAGGCCTCACAAGGCTGCTGGGAGAGGCAGACGCAGTTGTCAGAGTAAAAGTGCTTCTGAGTCTCAGTCCAGACCGTTTGTTGCAAGGATAGAATCTCCAGAGCTAGCTTTGGCAGGAAAGAGGACTTGCTCCTTGGACCCAGGGTGTCTCAAAAACCACAAGGCAGGAAATAAAGTTGGATCCTCAAAGGCCTGAATCCAAGTCCTGGAAATCTCTTTTTGGTTCTTCTCTTCTTGGGGCCACATGGGCTTTTAGTTGTGCTGCTTCTTTTTTTTTTTTTTTTTTTTAAGCTTTTATTTTTGTGTTTGGTACAGGGTCTCGCTTTGCAGCTCGGACTCATAGTGATCCTCTTGTTTTAGGCTCCCCAAGGCTGAGAATACAGGCACATGCCACCATGCTGTGCTTCAGTGACCTGCGTGGCACGGGGCCAATATGGCATGGGGTACTGGGGATCAAACTCGAGTCCTTGCGTTTACCAGGCAGGGGTTTAGACCATCGAGCTATCTCCCCAGCCCCTACTTGTGCTTCTTTAGCAAGTGTATTTCTTCTCTTTTTTCTTTTTCCTTTCCCATACTTCTCTCACCCCAGACTGGATTTCTCTGCTTTTCTGAATAGAAAACCAAGAAAATCAGAGAAATCCAATTTGGGAAGAGACAAAGAGAAAAATAAACTTTTTATAGAGGTTTATAAGACCTTGTTTTAAGCATCCAAGAAAATTTACTTAACTTTATTTTATTTATTTGTGTTAGCTGCTTGAGATTGAACCCAGGATCTCAGGCATGCTAAGCATGTGCCCTACCACTTCATCACACCCCTACCCTCTCCCTAGCTGGTATTTTTAATACAAATTTTAAATTCTGGGGATGAGTGGTGATATTAAAAATACTTGACTGTAATCCCAGCACTCAGCAGGCTGAGGCAGGAGCATTGCCATGAGTTTGAGGTCAGCCTGTGCTATATACAGTGAGTCCAAGGCCAGCTGGAACCATGTACTAAAACCTTGTCTTAAAAAAAATTAAAAATATGGGGCCAGTGATATAGCTCAGAGGTACAGAACCTGCCTGGCAAGTGCAAATTCCTCAGTTCTATTCCTGGTACCCTTCCCCTCAAAAATACCTTGACTGCCCATGTAACAGGCACTGAGAAGTAGGGACAAAAACCACAGAGTGCCAGTGTAGAGCCCCCTTCTAGGGTGAACTGTGAGGAGCCTAGCATCCTGGATCACTCCATGGACTCAGGACAACAACCATATATCAACCAGCAAATATTTCACAACCTGTGCTACCTGTCAACCCTGGTAAAGAATCCGACTGGTTCAGCTGGGTGAGGCAGAATCTGCCCATATCCAGTCAGTTACAGCCAGGAGGCAAGGTCCCAAGTGATGGCCAGAGGATCCATCCTTGATAGGAGAGATTACTGTGAACCAGAGCTGCAATCATTCCCATCTCATAGATGAAGAAGGGAGGTACTACAAGGGGCAACATTGGCCTAAAATCAGAGAATCACTCTGCTGGCTTCCCCACCCCTCAGAGCCACAGTGGCATTCTTTAGGTACAGAGATCATTCTAAGGCCCTGAGGTTGACCCCAGCCTCTCCTGGATGCTTTCTGTCTCCTCCCCAGATCTGTTCATTGAGAGGTTCTGCATGACAGGTGGGAACAGCCCCATCTGCTACCTCAAGGCCTATCACACCAACCTCTACTTGTCAGCTGATGCAGAAAAAGTGCAAGAGGCTATTAATGAGGGTGAGTCAAAATAAAGAAGGAGAGCACAGAAAGTCCAGCTCCAGGGCCCTGGAGGCCTGGCCTTACATCTCTGAACAGATGCTGTGGGTTGCCATGGTAACTAGAGGGGAAATGGTGGATAAATTCCTATGATCCGTCTTATAAACTCTGAAAACAAGGCCCTACCCTTTCCACCTCCCCACTCCCTGCCTCACTGGGCTAGGGATGCTTTTACTTATCAACATTACCAGCTTTCTGTTTCCACGGGAACCTTCCTTCTGTACTTCTTCCAGGTCAGTAAGAATTCTGACTCCTGTGTGAATGTGAGCAGCCCCTGCCTTCCTCTTTAGGCAGTGGGAAGAGGGAACCATATCGGCCCAGCTTGAGCAGTGGGCTCTGGGAAATGGTCAATATGTCCAGAAGCTGGGTTGGCTGGTATTAAAACAAGATTAGAAGACTCAACTTCAAACACCGACATAGAGGAGTTCCACCCACTGGCTTTCCAGGGGACAGATTTGAGTAGTAGCAGTTGCCTCAGGTCTCCTGTCGGGCTGTATGTCCCATTGCACACAGGCCCATCAAGGAGGAGGGACAGTCCTGCTTCCTGAACAGGCTCTGTGGCTGAACACAAGTGACAATATGCCATTTTCTCTGTTTCTTTCATGCTGTCTCCTACCTGGAAGCCTGGCCACTCCCCCAGTGCCTCACTGTCCTGAGCTACAGGGAGCTCTATGAGGCTTTCTTTCACTAGAGGACAGAAGTCACTTGCCTAGAAGGATATCATATACTTTGGTTGGGGCCAGAACACCAGCACATAGTTGTGCCTCTGTGTGTCTATAACTTCCTCAGTCAGAGAACAGTGCTGTGGTTGAATGGGAGCCCTGGTAAGCACAGGGAGCCCTGGCTTGGCATAGCTGAGAAGGTGCTTGGCCTGATGCTCATGGCCTGGTCCTCCCTGACACCCCTGAGCTAGTTAAGCTGCAGTGAGGCTTGTCCTACCCCCTCTCAGCGCTTGGCACAGGTCCCGCCTGGATTCCCTAAGCACAGGGCAGAAGTGGTCTTTGGGGAGAAATAAAGGCAGAGGACAGGTTCAGCCAGCTGCCAGGCACTCTGGTATCCATGGTGGCTGGAGCCTGGCCCCTGCCAGGTGTCCTTGCCCCCTGTAGAGCTCTGGATGCCTCCCAGGGCCAAAACCATTGCCTTATGGAACCCAAGAGAGCAACCTGCCCTGAGTAGGATGGAGTTGGGTGCTGCTGTGGCAGTACAGGACTCACACAGAGCTGAGTGACCCTGAATTTTACTCGGGCCCTGAGAAGTTTGGTGACTCACCAGAAACAAAATTAGGACTGGCTGTGGCCCAGCCAGAATGGGGCTCCTTCCATCCTGCCTATAGATCTGTGTGAGGGGTTTATGAGTGACCCTAAGCAGAGCCGTGGCCTGGGGGACCCTTTCTTCAGTGCTGCTGTATGCTGGCCTCATCTGCATGATCTTAGTAGGTAGTAAAGTACTCACTCCTTTTCACTCTTTGGCTACTGCCTTGAGCCCCTGGAATATCCTCCTTCTCCAAGGACTCCCCCAAACCTCTCCACAAAGCATCAACTTAAGGGGTGACCCAGGCATAGGCAAGGGCCTTCAAAACCCTGCCCCCAAGTTGTGGCTTCTGTTCATTTATTTTTTTTGTGTGGGTTTGTTTTTTGAGATAGCGTCTTGCCATGTAATTCAGGCTGGCCTTGAGTTTACTACATGGCCAAAATAAGATTGGCCTTGAACTCATGGTGATCCTCCTGCCTCAGCCTTCAGAATCTGAGATCATAGGCATGCACCACAACTCCTGGCACCTGTCCATGCACACTGCTGTTTTTTAGGTAACCTTAGCACTATACCTTATCAGCCTCTCCTTGGGTCCTGGAGGAGCAGCTGGGATAGGGATCAATAGCAACTGCCCTTTCTTTTTTTTTAAAATTCATGGGGGGGGGCAGTTCAGCCCACCAGGGGGCAGGGCTGGCTGGCATGTGGTGCTGGGGGATTGAACCGTGGTCCCTGTGCTTTGCTAAGCTTGTTCTAAGTAGGTGCTTTAGACCGCTGAGCCATCTCACCAGTCCACAACTGCCCTTTCTTATAACCCAGAAAGGGTATAAGGCTGTTGCTCAGCCTGAATGCAAATGATGCTTGTCTCTTTCTGACCAGGAATCGCAGCTGCCACAGTCTTCAGTCCCAGCAAGGATGTGGCTGTGTCTCAGACGCAGCTGCGTGTGGCCTTCGATGGAGATGCAGTACTCTTCTCAGATGAGTCAGAGCGCATCTTCAAGGCCCATGGGCTGGACAGGTTCTTTGAGCACGAGAAGGCCCATGAGAACAAGCCTTTGGCCCAGGTACTGCAGGTGGACCTAAGTATATGTGTATTTACCTCCTCCCCAGAACCGAGCCAGGTTCGACTCAGAGTCCCCCGGATCCCTTACCGAGCCTCAGGCCTCATCCTGGCTCCCATTCTGGGTCCCCGTCCCCTTCACTGAAGTCCTCCCCTTGTGAAGCCTTCACTGTCCCTCTGAGCCCCTCTCTGGAGCCCTTTCCCCTTCTCGGCAGGTCCAGTCCCTTTCCAAGGTCCTCATTTCTTCTCTGAAGCCTTCTCTCCTCAACCCCCACACTTTGAATCCTCTTTCCCCTTTTAGCCACTGTCCTGTCCCTGGAATCCTCACCTTCTTTCTGGGATCCACTACCCCCCTAAGAAGTTTTCATTTCCCCAGCAGCCCCTGCATTCCTTCCCCGAAGGACAGGAAGTGCTGGGTGGGCACTGTTGTCTCTGGGCAGGGAGAGCCTGCTGGGGGCAGCCGCTGGAGCAGACCCTTCACTTGGATCACCTCTGGCCACACCCGGGCAGGGGGCTCAGGGACTCTCATGCACCCTCAGGCTATTCATTGCTCTCTAAGAGTGGATTATGTCCTGGAGCATGGTGGAGATTCCCTGGGGATGGCACTGTGTGGTTTTCCATCTCTCCTGGGAGCTTTGTGCAAAAATCCAGACACTCAGGGCCAGACAGCTTTCCCACTAAGTGATTGTCAGAGGCTGAAGAAACCATAGCTAGGTTCAGGCCACCCAGCAAAGACCGGGTCTCCAAGACAAGAAACCCAACTTTCCTTATTTCCAGCTGCCCTCCCTGAGATACTGGAGACTTTTTCTTCTGCTCTTTGCTCACATGTCCTTTTTAAGCCTCATTTTCTGGGCACCATACAGAAAACAATCACACGCCTTTCCTTGACCTTGGAAAGCTTGGGCTGGACCCCCCGAGCCAGCTGTGTGTCCATGAGCAGGTCTCCATTTAGCAGTTACACATCAGCCCATCTGTCCACATGTCCGTAAGTTCATTCTGACTGCTCTTACCTGCTGGCGGCCACAGAAGGCCACACTTAGAGAAGTACAGACAGACATCTGTAGATAGGGACACATACAGATGTGTGAGGCAACAGTGGCCCTGCTGCAGTTATTCCGACAGAGCCCCAGTCACAGTAAGACAAACCCCAGACTGAGGTCTCTATAGCTGTACTGAGGCACGTGGGAGCCCAAGCAAGAGGAGCAAAGCTGCCAGAGAATTAAGGGTCCTGAGAGGTTTTTCTACCCCAAGGAACAGAACACTGATGCTCTAGAGAGAGAGGCAAATGTTTGGGAGAGCCGAGCTCACTGTGTTCCCTTGCCTTCTCCTAGGGCCCCCTCAAAGGCTTTCTGGAGGCCCTCGGTAGGCTGCAGAAGAAGTTCTACTCCAAGGGCCTGCGGCTGGAGTGTCCAATCCGCACCTACTTGGTGACGGCACGCAGTGCAGCCAGTTCCGGAGCCCGAGCCCTCAAGACCCTGCGCAGCTGGGGCCTGGAGACAGATGAGGCCTTGTTCCTAGCTGGAGCGCCCAAGGGCCCCCTGCTTGAGAAGATCCGCCCACACATCTTCTTTGATGACCAGATGTTCCACGTGGCTGGGGCTCAGGAGATGGGCACGGTAGCTGCACATGTGCCTTATGGTGTGGCACAAACACCCCGCGAACTGCACCCATAAAGCCGGTTCCATCTGCACAGTAGCTGAGCTGTACTCCCCACCGTCCTGCCCTCCTGCATGTCTGCTGTCATCCCTCTGAATGAGGTTTTCGAAGGAAATTCCACGGATTGGGCCAGCATTCTCACTGTCCCTCCTTTTGGGTAAACACTGTGCCATGATCCTGGCCAGGACAGTGTGGAGTAATGCATTTCAGGCAGAAGTTGCTGGGACTGAGGGCAGGAAGGTCCAAGAAGCCTAAAAAAAAGGAAGATGCCTCAAAGGAGCTTGGGATAGAAACTTGCTTGGTGTAGCTCAAGGAACACTGCTGTGAGAAAGAAGAGTCTGATGTCCAAGCTCTGCTTTGACACAAACAGCATGATTTTGTTTATCTCCCCTTCATGGGCCTCAGTTTCCTCATGTTTTAGGTAGTTTTCAGACTCTCCGTTAGCCAACAATGCTTGAGTTTTATAAGACAGCTTGGTTTTTGAAGGAGGCATTCTGTGCAGGGCTGCTGTCTGCATGCAGCTGTGCACATTACAGACGGGCACTCTTCTCAGGGCAGAGATGCCCTTCTTCTGGCCTGACCCAGTTCCATGCTGGCTTACACAGCCTCACACCAAGCGACAGGCAGATTTCAGCCCCACTCACCCCTCAGCCCAGGGGCCTTTGTCAAATGGGCAAGCACTTATCTATAACTCTATATTTGCAAACCACTGGGGCAAGATGACCTATCTACGTTCTGTGCCATCAGGATTCAGTGGCCAGGTGCAAGGTTTGCCAAGAAGAGCCAGGGGAATGATTTAGCCTTCGTGCAAATTCTCCTTCTGCCAGGAGGAGGCATTGCAGGTTGTTCCTGGCAAGGAGTTTCTGTGGCTGCCAGTGCAGCATTTCCCTTTGCCTCAACTTCTAGCCAAAGTTCAGTTGTTCTGCCAGCCAACCTCTGCTTCGGCTCTCAAAGCTCCAGTCATGGCATCCTGCTGTGCTCTTAGGCAGCTCTGAGAAAGATGGGAGAATCTGCAACCCCAGACATGCAAGGGGAGAAGGCTCAGTATATGAATGGGCCGTTGTCCAACCTGAGCCCAGGGGTAAGGCATGCCTTGGCCGAAGTGGGAAGTGTCAGGAGGCCTGATCTGAGACCAAGGGGAGCGAGACACTGATGGCTCAAACGGAAGTTGCTGAGCACAGTAACAAAATTTTTCTGCTGTGGGTAGAGTCAGAGCCACCATGGAGACAATGAGCTCTCTGTCACTGGAATTCTAGGATGAAATACCCTCCTCCACTCTTGCAGGAGCACCTTCTTCCACATTTCCTAGGGAGCACTCTGATGTCCTGATGGACTAGATTTCCCCTTTGCTGAGCAGCTCTGACTCTTTGAGAGGAAGGGTAGAGGCATGATGGCTGGTTCCATAGGAAGACCAAGAAGGGACGGGAAGACACCTGTCTGTGCACCAGTTGCCCAGCTCCTGAAAGCATCCCAGCTGTGAGAAAGCACCTTGTAAAGAAAGCCAAGGACACCATCAGAGAGATGGCACCTAGAAACGTGGGGTGAAGGGTGACCCGGACAGCTCGGCCCTGTCCTCTGAGCACTCAGCCCAAGATGCTGTGCAACTTAAGAATAACTGCAAGGAGATGCCAAGCGGGAGAGGGAAGGAAGGAGTAATGAATAGAGGAATGGGGAGAGAGAGAGAGAGAGAGAGAGAGAGAGAGAGAGAGAGAGAGCTCAGCCTCAAGATCTTTTTCCTCTTTCCAGGACCACGTAAGAGCTGTGTTCTCCCTGCTGCAGCTTTGCAGGTAGCCCCTTGGAGGAGCCTCTAGGGGCTTACAAACCAATGGCTGCAAGAAGCTTACAAGGCCAGGCACAACCCAGGCTCACAGAGTGGACCTATGCATTCTGAGGTCCAGCTATCACCTCATTAAAATAAGAACTCCAAGGATCCTGGGACTCATAAGGCCCAGCCCCCTGGGCCTAGGGATGATCACCATAGAGCCTTTCAGGTTGCTCAGGAAGCAGGAATATATGATGTTGGAAACAGAAAGATAAGGCACAGTGAAGGCTGTGGATTTCACTGGAGCCACCATTAATGGATATAGACAGCCCTGGGCAGCAGGGAGACACTAAAGGTCCAAATTCTATTATGGAAATTACAGATGAACAACTTGAGCCTGGAAAGTAGCTTTCAGAAACTGGCATAAAAAGCTAGACATCCTGGAGGCAGGCAGATAGGCCTTCTGTTGGTCTCAGGTGCCAAAGAGAGGCTCCATGACCCTGGAAAATTAAAAATCCAGATGAGCACCAAAGCCCAGAACCCCATCTCAGACTGCATCCTTGGGGCAGAGGGGCCACAGCTCCCAGCACACCAGACCCATTTAGCGGAAAGCACCAGGTCCTACAGAACACCTGTCGCAGGAAATGCTTGCCATCAAAGTCCCAGACTAGAAGAACTACCGGAAGAAAAGCCCTGTTATTAAGCACTGAGACTATGCAGATCATTACAAAACAGCCCCCTGCCCTATCCAAGAGCCCAGTCAGAGCAATGGGAGAACTTCCAGAAGAAACAAAAAAAATAAAAATAAAAACCAGCAAGAAACTCAAATCCAAGATGAATTCAACATTTTAACGATTGGCAGTTGGTGTAGACCCATGCTATAAAAACAGTTGCATGAGAAATGCTTCCACAGTGGTTGGTCATTAGCCCTGCCTTGACTGGCCCTTGTGAGCCCTGCTGCCCTGGTCCCTCCACTGTGACTGTTCTGTCTTCCAGAACCATGGCCTGTGTCTACTCTTGTGCCATACCACATGCTGGCTTGTCCAAAGCCACCCAGCTAGGAGGTGGTGGTGCTGGGGGGACTCTTAGGTGGGTCTGTCTGATGCTATGACCAAGCTTTCCACAGTCCACATAAGTTGAAATGCTGGATGAAGTATGTTCTGATGGAGACATTTTGGTGGCAGCTTCCTAACTAGCTAAGAGCAACTTAAATTAAAGCCAACCATTTGCAGATTCCCTGAAGTACTTCTCAATAACCCCAAGCTCTGTGGAATCCAGTTTGAAAACCCCTGACTTGAGCTAATGTGAGATTGGCAAACTAGAAAGCCTTAAGTGAAACCTGACCTAACTGCCTATTTTTGTTTTGTTTTGCTTGTTTGGGAGCATTGTGTTTTGTTTTTGAAACAGGGTCTCTCCATGTGATTCAGGCTGGATTTAAACTCACTATGTAGCCCAGGCTGGCCTCAAACTTGTGGTGACCCTACTGCATCAACCTCACATGCCTGGCTATTTGTTTACTTCTGAGACAGAAGCTCACTGTGTAATCTGGGAGGGACCTGAACTCAAGGAGTTCTCTCTGACTTCTGGGTGCTGGGATTAAGGGTATTTGCTGTTGCACCTAGATTATTCTATTTCCTAACACACTGTCTCCATGAGTTCACATGTTTTGAGGGTTTTTTTTTTTGGGGGGGGGGTACTTGGGATAGAACTCAGGACCTTGCACTTGCCAGACAGGCACTGTGCGACTGAGCTATAACACCAGCCTGAGTTCACATGTTTTTGAGCTGCTGCTTTTGAACTACTGCAGCAGAGTTGAATGATTCCAAGAGACTGCAAGGCCAAAACTATTTTTTCTGGTCCTTCCCAGAAAAGTTTGCTGAACCCCTGGGCTAAGGCAAACACCCTTGGCTCACACCTTAGTGGGGTGAATCAGGTCACACCCACCTAAACTCAGAGGCCAGGAGTCAACTCCAGTGCTGGCAGGGCCGGGAGGCTCTGTGCCTGCTAAGCCTTGCTTGACATTTGAGGGTTTCAGATTCCAAACCATAGTCCCCTGTAATCCCCGGTTACTCCAGCAGGCTTGGGGCAGAAAGACCACAGGTTTGGGAACAGCGTAGGCAATGGAGCAAGATCCTGTCTCAAAAATAAAAATGAATTAACTTGAATAAGATTCCAAGTTTTGACTGTTTCTGGTGGCTCATAGCCTATTGTTATTTGTTAATTAATTCATGGACTTGATTTGAGCCCAACTGAGAAGCTGACAGCTCAGGGTGCAAGGGGCAGGGAGCAGGAGCCTTGGCCAGGGGCGAGCTCTGCTGACTGCCAGTGTCTGCTCAGTGTGGCTTTGTGTTCCTCGCTCATCCGTCAGTGGGCCTCTTGGGCAGCAAGGAGTGCTGGCAGGTGGATGAGTTTGGAGAGAGCCAAATGCCAGGCATTGACTTCAGTAGCTCAGATCTAACAAGTCCTCCTCGTGTGCTCTCTGAAAGCAAGAGCAAGTTCTTCATGCAGGAGGTCCTAGCCGGGCTTTGTCTGGCTCAGAAGCTACTGATCAAGTGAAAGATCAAATGCCAGTAAAAGTGGGAATGGTGGTTTTCTCGTGCCGTGAGGGTGTGATCCATAAGCACATCCTCATAAAGGAATTGTGGGTCAAGAGGTTCCATGATCTGTCTCAGAGGTGGCAAGTGTGGAAGCCGTCCTGCCTGTGGCTCCAGTACTGTTACTATTCTATCATGTTATCCTTCTCTGCTAAGCCCAGACTTGGCTTCAGAGTCCTCAGCCAGCCTTTCAGGCAGCACTACCAGACAGCTGAAGGAGGCCTGAGAGATGGAGCCTGTCCGGCCACCCCCTCTTGGTGTTGGGAATTGTTTTCCTGGAGGAACGCAAGGGGCTGGATGCCCATTCTCTAGTGCTGTGGTGCAACTCCAAGGATGCTAGGATCTCTCCTGCCTCCAGTGGAGCACAGTGGAAGGGAGTACAGGGCATCCTGCAGTTGGCAGCTTCCCTAGACCATGTGGATGCGGGAGAAGCAGCGTCTTAAATTTTGCAGCATTGAAGGAAAGTGAAAAACTTCTCTTGCCAGTAGGTGGCACTGCAGGCCAGCACCGGCTGTTGGTGGTGGTTCATGTTCCTACTGACTTTTCTATCCTCCAGAACTACTTGGTGCTGTATGGGCCTCTCCCTGCCAAGTACTTCTACCAGCCAAAAAAGGACTTCAGGTGCTCTGAAAATGTTTGCTAAACATACCTGTGTGCTGAGCTGATTGCTGTCACCGATAACCACTGTGACAAGAGGATTAAAATTGTGCATGGATGTCTGTGTGGGTATGTGTAGTGGCTCAGGTAGCTCTATTGACACCTCTCTGTGTTTGTGTATGCCTGTGTTTTTGTTCCTTACTTATAAGTGTGTGCTGTTCATTGAGGGCCCTGAGCTCCATATACAGAACTCATGGCCAGTCCTGCTGCTTGGGGCTGCTGCCAGCTCTTCTGTCATCTCACAGACAAGGAATGCTTGTAGCCTGGGGGTCACCAAGGCCATTTTACTTAGTCTTCCTCCCTAGCTTCCAGTGTCTGGCCAAGGTCTTGGTTCTTAATCCTCTCTCATCCTTATCCTCTGCTGTCTTGGGAAGGAGGGGTGGGATCTGATCTCTTGATTATACCTGCCTCACTGCCTTCAACTTGTGTCCTCCTCATAGTGCTAGGAGTGAGGCTGATCATACACATGAGTGTCTAGCAGGAGCCCATTCACACAATGACTTGTGTGGTTTCTAAATCTGTAGGATCTGCCAGTTGTACACAGATGTCCTAGACATGTCTTACAGCCTGACTGGGAAGTTGGCCTTTCTCCCTATTTCCCCAGCCCAGCCCAGCCTAGGCTGGAATTTCTTCCTTTGCTTGGGTTTTGTCATCTGGCCAGAAACGACTTACCCCTGACCTTGCTTGGGAAGCGTCTCCCTGATGGACCATTCCCCCAGAGGACTTCAGGATGTGATGGATGCAAGGGAAATGTGGCTGGGAAGCTTTCCATTACTCATCTCTGCCAAGTCGGAGGCCTCACAAGGCAAACCAAAGCTCTACAGAGCAGGGTCTCTGATTCCTGCACTCCTGGCCTGGTGTGGATGTGCTTTGTGGGCAGCCTGCCAGTGAGTTAGGGAAAAGGTTCGAGGCTGGAGTCGTAGCTGCTACCAGTAGAAAACCACTGAGGTTACACAGACTGCGGATCACAAACTCTAAAGCCTACAGGGTCCAGGCAGGAAACAGAAATGAGTGAAGGGAGTCAGCAGGGTCTTTGGCAAGATAGACAATGCGAGCATGTGACGCACTGCTGCCGCATGGCAATGCAGGCAAGATAGCCAGACTTTCTAATCAGTTTTTCATAAGAGGTTAGATCTGGACTTTCATATGTTGGCAACTCTTTCAGAGTTTGAAAACATAGTGCAAGCCAAAGACAACATATCTTGTAAGCTAAATCTGGCCCTCAAATCTCTAGTTTGCACCCACTAGCCCAGGCCCGCCCAGTAACTTGAGATTTTTAGACCTAAATAACTGAGTGAGAGAACATCACCCTCACAATCATGGTTTAAAGTCTCCCAGAGACTTTGGCAATGACATAGTTCAACTCTTGAGTTTTAAACTGTGTAGCACAAACTTCTTTATTAACTTAATATACCCATATCCTTAATTCCTGGTTGCCACTGAAAAGTGTCTCAGTAACCCCAGTTTAGAGTACGATTAAGAAGGAAGCCTTTGTGGTGCATACCAGTAATCCCACCTCTTGAGAGGCTGAGGCAAGAGGATTGTTGCAAGTTTGAGGCCAGCCTGGGCTACAAAGTGAGCTCAAAGCCAGCCTGAACTATCAAGACCCTGTCTCAAAAAAAAGAATCCTTCACACACCATGTACTCGTCCCTCCCTGCAGCAGCCCTTTGCCTCCTGCCATTCATTTCCTGCTGTCTTCCTCCTTCCTTGATCCCTCTGCTTGCTGTTTCCTATGAGCCTCCTAAGTGCCTCCATGAAGGGGCAGAGCATGTGCTTCCTCATCTCTGTGACTGTCTTCACGTGAGATAAGTGTGTGTTTTTCCCAGCCTTGCCCCCCCCCCCCAGCATCCTGGGGGCTCCAACTCTCTCACCCCTCACAGCATTTACCTGGGCACAGGATACAGGTTGCTACATGCTGGTCAGTGTGGATCTCCTGCACTCCTCCTATGTGTCTGAGGGCTTCTACGTCTTAAAAGCCATTCAAATAAATAGAAGAGATGTTCGATAAATTTATATTGTCTTGGGTTGTTTGTTTACCACAAGCTGTTTTAAGGCCCTTCAGAAATGTTAATGGGCATGCAAGTAGTGACCAGGCCTGGGTTCAGTCCATCCATTACTGTTAGGGTCTTTCTGTAGCTCCCTCCCCACCCCATACAAAGGCCATAATGATAGGTGTGGTGGTCCAAAATCCCAGCACCAGGGAGGCTGAGGCAGAAGTATCACAAGTTGAAACCAGCAAAAGTTCCATATTCAGATTCTTTCTCAAATACAACAAAATATAAAGCCCATCTTGAGAGGAATTCTTTGATAGATGGCTGCCTGAGCAGGGTGGCAGGACTCTGGTCCTGGATGTAGGAGACACTTCCAGGTCCTCGTCTCAGTCCAAGAAGGTAATATTTATGATCCCAAAGTTACATTATTGGAATCTCATCAAGTTGATTCCAATCTACCACTTTTATGCAACCCACGGCGAAAATAAAAACACTAAGTTGTATTTTCAATCATCGGGGAGTCAAGGGGCTCTAAGTCCAGCCATGAA